TCACCCCCGTCCCCAGCGGGCAACGGGCAGTCCCCTCTCATGCCTAGGTGAATCCGGAAGCCGCATAGGCCGTCGCAGGGCCCATCCAAACTCCATCACGCCCACCCTTGCCTGGATGCGTCGGCTAGAGGAAAGCTACACTACAAGCCCAGCCGTTGCCTACGCTGGCTTGTGGTAAGTACGATAAGTTCTTCCAGGGCATCCCGCGAACCGGTCCTTAATTGCCATGGGTGCGACTAGCAAAACCATGCACCCACAGCCCACCATTCAGTCGCATTTTAGTTGGATAATTACGACCATGAAGCATGGCCAGATGTCTCGAGCACGCAGCTCATCCTGATACTAAAAGGTCTAAAACTGTAATTACCCCATCAACTGAGCTAGTGGTAATTAAGCATGGCTAAGCATATAGTTCTAGCTAGGTCACATAAGTAACATGAGCTAGTCGATTTATTACCCAAGGTTGACAAAGAACAGATATCAAGTAAACATGGCACAAGCGAGCAGATAGGTAATACCCGGATCCCATGTAATTAGCAAAACATGCATATTTATTTGTAAACGGTAAAACATTTATAAATTGGGATCAACATGCTCAAGGGGAATGTGTGACTTGCCTTGCTTCTTCAAACAATCTTCCGAACTCTTATCCTTGCGACCGCGATCTTCCGAAATGACGGGAACTACACGCTGGCACGCAAAATGAGGAAAAACTCTAATAAAAACCAAGGAAACAGTACATAAAAAGTAAACAAACATGTAGAGCTCAATTTTAGATGAATTTTGCAAGTTGAATGGCTCAATTCGGAGTTCGAATGAATTAGATATGAATTTTAGAAGTTTTGAGCCATTTAAATGAATTTCTAGAATTATTAACGAATTATGACGCAATTATTATTTATTTTTCCAAAGGAAAAGACGGTTGCTGACGTCATCAAAGGGGAGGGCGGCGCCGGCAAGCGGGCCCCACCGGTCAGCGGCACAAGGGCGCCGGTCCACCGTGGACCGGGACCACGGGGTAGTCCACCGCTGGTCCACGGGAACCGATGGCCCATATCAGCCCGAGCTGATCGGGCGGCCACGGGGTGGCGCGGCTGAGCACGGGCACAGCTCAGGCCGGCCCGGCCGAGCGACGGCTCACGGCGGCGCGGCCTCCTGCGACGACGCCGACGCACGCGGGAAAGCGGTGGTGCGGCGCGGCAAGGGGATCCGGGCGGCCTAGGCGAGCGGGGCGGCGACAAGCTGGCCGGCCGACCTAACGGCGGCGGCACATGGCCCGGTGGTCGCCGGCGGCGGCCACCGGCGTGGCAGCACGCATGGGAGACAGAGGAGGGAGGCAAGGAGGGAGAGGAGGAGCTCACCAAGGACGCGACGACGAGGGGCGGGGAAAGGCGGGGGAGCTCGGCGTCGGCGCTCCTCGGGACGAAGGCGGAACGGCGGCCCGGCGGCGTAGGGTGGAGGTGGCTTGGGATGCACGGTGGAAGGGTGGTTGCGGCGATTAAATGGGGAAACGGAGCGGAGGCCGGGGTGCGGCGAGGCACGGAGAAGCCGGTGGTGCAAACGGCGCGGCGCGGCAGTGGCTAGGGCGGCGGCTAGAGGTGGCCGGAGCTCGCCGGGGACCGATGGAGAGCGGGAGCACGGTGGAGAGGTGGTTCGCGTGGTGGAAGGGGAGGAAGAAACGGCGGCCGAGCGTGCCCTTGAGGTGGCAAAGCCAGCGGTGGCGGCGGAGTAGTGCGGCGGCGACCCTAGCGACGGGAAACGGCGGCCGGAGTTCGCCGGAGTGTGGCGGCGCGCGGGAACGACGTGGGGAGAGCGAGGGAGAGAGTGCCGGGCCCGGGAAACAAGGGGAAATGGACGAGGGGAGCACGGGGGTGCTTTTTATGGGCTCGGGAAGGCGGGATCGAGGCCGGACGTGGCGGAATCGGCTGGCGAAGTGGGCGCCGACGTGGGGTGGTGGAGGGGTTAACCGGCGCCGATTTTCGCGGGGAGAGTGGGGGAAAACGGCGCCGACGTGGGCGACGACCGCGTCCACGCACGCGCGGGAGAGGGAGTCGCGCGGGAGAGGCGGCGACGTGGGAGGATTTGGCGGCCATGGCGGCGGTTAGGGCGACGGGAGGTAAGGGATGAAGATGACAGGTGGGGCCTCGGGTCCCACCTGTCGGGGAGAGAGAGAGGGGAAAACGGGAGAGGGAGGTAAAGCAGACTTGAGGGAGAGAGAGCCGAGCGGGCCGAGGGAGGAGGCCGGCCTAGGAAGGAGGGGAGGAAAACCGGGGGACGTAAAGTAGACTTTCGCAAGGCGCGGGCCGGCCGAGAGAGGGAGGAGGCGCGCGGCCCACGGGAGTGGAGGGGAAGGCTTGGGCCAAGCCCAAAAGGGGGAAAGGGGAAGATTATTTTCTTTTCTTTTTATTCTAATTGGTTAAATGAACTTTGTGACTTTAAAATTATTTCTTGAGCTCCGAAAATTTGCGGAAAAATCCGGAGAGTATTTTTGGGGCACAAAGAATATTGCAAAATATTCCCGGCCAATGATTTTTTTAAAGGAAATTTTAATTTCCTCTATAATTTCACTTGATTAAATTGATTTAACCTTTAATATAATTTCTAGAAATGTATTATTAATTGATTTTTAATCCCGAACGAAAATCGGGGTGTTACAAAACCGCGGTAGCGGGAACCGGCGGGCGGCGGCGAAAATCGAATGGCGGCGACGGGAGGTTGACACCGGGAGAGAAGAGAGAGAGACAGAGAGGGAGAGAGCGGCCCTCCTTCTCGGCTCGGCTGCATGCAATGCACGTGCGAGGGGTGCGGGTTGAGAGGGGGAGATGGGCCGAGGGGAGGGGATCCAGCCCATCCAAAATTATGAGGACGCAAAATAGACTTTTACAGAGAAGACATATTTGGAGAGAATTCGAGTTGGGGGTTTGGATTTGGATTTCGAATTGGATGCTTGGTCTTAGGGACACAAGGTGGAGTCAAGGAAGGAACTCAAATGGGAATCGGGAACAGGTATTTCGCAAGGATTTCAAGAGAGGATTTGAATTTCGGGATTTGATTTGGAGTCTTGAATTGGAAAAGGAATTTTGAGGAGGATGATTTTGATGGTGATGAGAGGGATCGAGGACGGATTTAAATTGAGATATTGGCACAACTTTAGACTCAGCACTCAAAGAACGGAAATTTTCGCAATTAGGATTTTACTGAATTAGTTTTTAACGTCTCACGAAAAGCGGAGCGTTACACGGGCCTTCCATGGAGCCTCCGTCAGCATTGCCGTCGAGCCGCCGCCACCTTCCCCATTGCCGCCGCCCGAGTCCATGAGCCACGGGCCAGATCTAGAGAGTTCGATGGAAGGAGAGGCTGGAGGCGGGGAAGAGACGGCGGAGGGAGAGGTTGGAGGCGGGGAGGGGATGACGGAGGGAGAGGTCGGAGGCGACAGCCGCCGCTAGCTATTGAGTTGGGCTCGAGCAGCATCCGAGATTGAGAGGCGCCGATGGGGAAGGGGAACAGCGGAGAGGAGGGAGAGCTACGCTGGCAGTCAGGGGAAGTGGAGCTGTGCCGGTGCTGGTGGGGGAAGGCAAGGAGGCAGGCCAGCCTGAGGAGATGAAGGGCACAACCTGGGGAAGAAAGGGAGGCCAGCGCACTGTGGGAGATTAGAATTTGTCATATGTGTGGCTTCATTCAATTTTCTTGTCTAGGTGGAGCATATAGTCACACGAAATAAACCCGACACATTGCTAATGCCCTTACCACACCTAAATATATAGGCCTGTTTGGATTAGGGACTAAAATATTAGTCCCTGTCACATCAAATGTTTGACACTAATTAGAAGTATTAAATGTAGACTAATGACAAAACTCATTCCATAAGTCTGGACTAATTCGTGAGACGAATCTATTAAGCCTAATTAATCTATGATTAGCCTATGTGATGCTACAGTGAACATGTGCTAATTATGGATTAATTAGGTTTAAAAAATTTATCTCGTGAATTAGCTCTCACTTATACAATTAATTTTATTATTAGACTATATTTAATACTTATAATTAGTATCAAATATCCGATATGACGGGACTAAATTTTTAGTCCCTATCCAAACACCACCATAGGGTGCGACCGTCGATTGGTCGATTGCACGGCCCACGGCATAGTAGGACGCCTAGCCCCGTTTAGTTCCCAAAAAGTTTTTCCCAAAAACATCACATCGAATCTTTGGATACATGCATAGAGCATTAATAAAGATTAAAAGAAAAACTAATTGCACAGTTAGGGAGAAAATCGCGAGACAAATCTTTTGAGTCTAATTAGTTCATGATTAGCCATAAGCTACAGTAATCCACATGTGCTAATGGCGGATTAATTAGGCTCAGAAGATTCGTCTCGCGGTTTTCAAGCGAGTTATGAAATTAGTTTTTTCATTCGTGTCCGAAAACCCCTTCCGACATCCGGTCAAACGTCCGATGTGACACCCAAAAATTTTTATTTCGCGAACTAAGGGCCCCTTTGATTTGTAGGAAAAATGTAGAAATTTTGGAGGATTTCAATCATATGGAAAAAAAAATCCTATGAAGGCCTTTGAAACAAAGGATTGCATCCTATCCAATCCTTTAAAATTCCTATGGAATGGGTAATCCTATGCATATTTTAGAGGAAAGTTAGCAAGAGGTCTAACCTCTTGGAACATTTCCTCTGAGTCTATCTCTCTAATCTGATTCCTGCGTTTTTCTTGTGGTCCGATCAAACGGCCATTCCTGTATTTTTTCTGTGTTTTGCAATCCTCTATTTTACAATTGTATTTATGTCAGAATCCTATATTTTTCCTAATCCTTTGTTTTTTTATTCCTATATGATTCAAAGGGGCCTAAACATGCCCCTACTTGGAAGTTGGAACTCTCCACAGGGTTCCCCTCACCCCTTCAGCGGCTTGAGCTTGACAGCTCCCTGGTGCATAGGACTCCAGTACGCGATACGTCCCGTCCGTTTGACCACCCAAAGCGGGGCGTGGCCTGGCCTGTCTGTCCGCCTGTATACATATCTCCCCTACCTCGCCCACTGCCGGACGCCCAGCGATCCAGTGCCCCCCACTCCCCACCACCCGCGCGTGGCCCGGCACGAACACCTCAACCTTTCTTTCCTTCCCTTACCAAGCGCCAAGCTAGCCCCAAGCAGAGCTCTCAACGAGAGGAGATCGATCGATCGATCTCTCGCTCCGTCCATTGATGGACTACTCGAGCTCCAAGGAGCCGTCCTCGGCAAGGTGACCACCACCATCGCCCGCTCGCGCTCGGCTTCCTGTCCTGTCCTTGCGTCGTTCGATCTGACTGGGTTTTTTTTCGTTCCGTTCGTAATACAGGGCGTGGTGGACGAGGGAGACGGTGGCCGTGGTGACCGGCGCGAACAGGGGCATCGGGCTCGCGCTGGCGGCGCGGCTCGGGGAGCACGGCATCACCGTGGTGCTCACCGCGCGGGACGCCGAGCGAGGGGAGGCCGCCGCCGCGGCGCTCCGTGCCCGGGGCCTCCACGTCGTCTTCCACCGCCTCGACGTCGCCGACCCTGCCTCCGTGCAGGCCTTCGCCGCCTGGCTCCGCGACGCCATCGGCGGCCTCGACATCCTGGTGAGTCAGTCAGCCATCACGTCAAATCAAACCCCCTTCCCCTTCTCCGAGGTTTCCGCTCGCCCGTCATTATTACGTCTTCTCCACAGTCCAGATGATGGCAACGTATCTTATCGCCAACAGTTTAGGCCACGCTCTGCCACTTTAATCCTGCACAGTAAGCGCTCGCGATCGGTATAGAACAGTAACGATTTTCGTATGCATGCGACGCCCGATTGGGCAAATTGCGTATTTAGGCGGAAGTGGAGCGCCCGTCAAGATCGGTTCTTGCGAGGCTGCATTATTGCTCCTCCCGCCATGAGTGCTAGCCCTGCTAGGCCCCAAGGGGGCGAGGGGCGCGCGCGGCGGGCGACCAACCGAATAAAATTGTCGCGTGTGGGGAAAAGGAAAGGGCAAATCCGAAGCCGCCGCCGCCACCGCCTCATGCGGGCGATGGCTGGGCGAGCGGTCGCTTTGGCTGGGCCCCCTCTGTCACTGACACGTAGCAGACGGTCGGCGTCGCATCCGGAATTCCGGGCTCCCTTCCCTCTCCCTCCCGGCGCCGAGGCTGAGTCGTGCTCGTGCATGCTGCCGGACAGCGACACGGCCCGTCGGCCCGCAACCTGGTCCTAACGTCCAACGTGTTGCGTTTCGTTTCGCTTGCGCCCGGAGCCAACTCGAGCGCTCAAAGAAGTCAGGGTTCTGATAGCTCGCAAATACTTGCTGCGTTTCTTTAAGAAGTATACGAGACTTGCTACGGTGCTCTCTACTGACAGTAGAAATCTATCTAAATCATTGATCTCATTTGATCAAATGGTTCATATCTATTTATACTATAAGGTGGAGGGGCATTATTGTCAGAAAAAAATAAGTGCGGAGGGTATAATCATCATTTAGTAGTGACAACTTTTTTTCTTCTTTTTTGGCTTTGTCGATGAAATATGAGCGATGCCAATGTGATGGATGATCATAGATCGATTTAGCTAGAAAAAAAATAAATAACAAAGTAACTCATATTCATTGAATTAGTAACTTACTAATTTATCCTTAATAATAATGGTAGTATAATACTACTAGTATAGAGCACTAGAGCATCTCTCTTAAGTATATATGATGGCGTTAATTTTTAGACACACGTTTGATCATTCGTCATATGAAAAAAAAAGTTATCACTATTTATTTTGTTGTGGTTTGTTTTATTTTAAATAAGTATGTTTTATGTTGTTTCATTTTTTTTCAAAAATGAATAATATGAATAATTAAATGTACATATAAAAGTCATGTTATACACTCACGATTTTGATATTTTTAAAGTTAAATTTCTGTAAGTTTTTTCTAAAAAGACAGTAACATTTTCAACACAAAACAAATATACTATCAACATATATTCAATGTTCGATTTAATGAAACTAATTTGGTGTTGTACATGCTATTATTTTTCTATAAACTTGATCCTTATTAGAAACCCGTCTTATAATACTCCATCCACGAGAGTTAGACCTATTTTATATCTTAGTTTTTCCAAATAAGTTGTTTCTATTTTGTCTCTATGCATTCAAAGACTTAAATGAATAGGTAAATTAAATGTTTAACCAGAAACTAATGAGCCATCTTAATACTCATTGGTTGCATGAGTGCTTACACTACTTGATCTTTGTTATATGTTAGATAGTTAATTTGTGTTTGGTCTTGGTGAGAAAAGTAATACGGAGTAGTGTAATTTTTGTGGAAGGATAGAGTATGAAATATAGGGAGTATTAAAAAGCTCATGATAACGTGCCGCTGCCCGCTGATTGGCTCTGGCTGCAGCACTTTTGACTATCTAGGTGGAGTAACAACTTACAATCTTGTTGGCTGGTCTTGTTCTTAATTCTGCAAGCTGTTTAATTTTCTTCAAGTCAAATCCGTCCATTGGTTAATCCGTATTGCCACTTTGTTACAAGTCGGATATCTCTCCCTTTCATTCGTTCAAAGTTCAAACCCATACTTGCAGAGGCGTTGGAAGCCATAGCTCCCGGCCTGTGTTTATATATGCTTGGAGCTGCTCCTGTGTAATGCGTAATTTACTGAACTGGAGTATGTTACTGCTTACGGCCAGTCTTAACGACAGCTGCCAGAACAGAAGAACAAAAACAAACACATGATCTTCAGGCTGTGCAAACCGAGCTAGGCAGATTGGGGCATTGGGCCATGGTCAAGCTAGGTGACCTGTAATCTACCAAAATGGTGATCCATACTCCTTACCTGAATACAATGATGGCGTGGTTTATTCATGTTGAGCTGGCACTTTCAGATAACGGGTGTTAAGTTTGATCTAATCGATCTCCATCTGTTTGTTGGCACATCCATACCATCAAGTAATCTAACTGACATTAAGAGGGTAGCTTTTGTAGAGTACGATGAGGCCTGAGACTTTGTGGAGTGATAGGCATAGTACACCACATTTTTTAGATAATGAAAATGGATTACATCTCCGGTCTCTGCCCGTGGGCACACAACCAAAAAGTCTCTGAAGTAAACAGAAAAGAAATTAAAAAAAAAAGCGTGATACGACAAACCCTTAACTTATGTCAATAAGATGATCTACATATAGTGACCAAGTGCGGTTTAGTGGAGTACATTTCCAGCCTCCTAACATTATAGCTGCAATAAAAGGGAGTTGTTACTATCTGAAACCAGTTCGTTCAGTAGCTCCACTCTAATCCATGATGACTTGCTTTTTTCTGCGATGATGAAATGAATTGTATCTGCACATTTTGTTGATGTAGGTGAACAATGCAGCAGTTTCATTCAATGAAATTGACACTAACTCAGTGGAGCACGCCGAGACGGTCCTTAGAACGAACTTCTATGGGGCCAAGATGCTGACTGAAGCACTCCTGCCACTTTTCCGGCGATCACCAGCCACCAGCCGAATACTGAATATCAGCTCCCAACTTGGACTACTCAATGTAAGTGCTCAAATGGATATTTATAATTCATGTTAATCTAGTATTGCTTCCCTGTCCATATATCTCGTCACACCCAAAATTATAGAACTAGTGGATGAACTTGTTTGAAACTCTCCTGAAAAAAAAAAATCTAAGATGGAACACGCAACTATTTTACCTTCATTGTTGTGTACCTCATAGATCATCGATAGATAACAAGACAAGGAAAATAAATGATGATATTTTCATGAGGAAAATAATATTTGTTGCTTGTCGTATTGAAAGATTTTTTTTCTTTTTAATAAAGACTAGCCTCTAATTTGTTTTTAATAAAGAATAGCTGGTTGTAGCTCAAATTGTTAGGAAAAAAAATTCCATAGTGGTCTCCTTGTACATCATGAGTCACGTTAAGTGTATGTGCGTTGAAACTTTGAGCCTGTAATTAACTAATTCTCTTTAAGTATAGTGTCACTGACCTAACCGTTTTTGGATTAAATCAAACTATGTTTTAAAACAACAGTAGTTTTGACATATCAAGAGGCAAGCTTGACAAGTAGTAGCACACAAATAGCTAGTAGATAAAGACTTGAGATTATGAAGTGTGAATGCACGAGACCAGTGGTGGACAAATTATAATTTGAAGCTTATCTTAAGGCATAATGCATATCTCATCATGAATGTGCTGGCTAATACGTTGTCTATGGTCTGTACAAATACACGGCCAAATACATGTCATTTTGAAGTCTTTTCTTTCATTATCACTGACACAGCATAAACTAGAATCCGCAACTTGTTTGTTTTCTAGCTAAACTCCAAGTTTACAGAAGTTCTTCCGTCTAATTTACTCCCAACTACATTTGGAGTGTTGAGCAGAAGTTGAAAGATGATCTTTATATGCAAGTTTGAAAATCACGTACTATCATGCGCAATTTATGTTTCTTGCACAGAGACGAACCCTTAAAATTTTCCAGTTATAAATGGTTGTATAGGTTGTAAAACTAAGCTTGCGTCGCTTTCGTCGTCACATGCATATGCTATTAGTATATAACTAAAGCTGGAGAGATCTTCTCTCACAAAAGATCTGTATACATGGGCCATAAAGTTAAAAAACACGAAAGGGGACGAGGATAAGAGGTTTGAAAGCAACGGGAAAAGAGCGAGGAATCTATTGACTCTTATTTTCTGACTCTTATTTTCTCAGTATTCCCTCCATTTCATATTATAAATCGTTTTGATTTTTTTTTCCTAGTCAATTTTTTAAAAATCTGATCAAATTGATAGAAAAATTTAGCAACGTCTATAACACTAAATTAGTTTTTATCGAAACTAATATTTAATATATTTTGATAGTGTGTTTGTTTCATGTTGAAAATGCTATTATATTTTTTTTATAAACTTGATCAAACTTAAATGAGTTTGACTAGAAAAAAAATAAAATAATTTATAATATGAAACAGAGGGAGTAGTTTACAGCGACGAGAAACAGAGGGAGTAGTTTACAGCGACGAAAGTTGGTTAAACTTACAGCAGGGCATCAGCAAGTCAGCATCTGTAGTGCATCAGCAAGTCAGCATCTGTAGTGCAACGGCATCATTAAACGCAGAATGTGTACACGACGACTAATTTTGCAAACGAATCTAACCTGCCTTTGAAAGGGAATTTCGGCATCGAAGTTTCTCTATCTGCAGCAGATATCCTCGCGCGCACCCACACACACACACAAAAAAAAAACAAAAAGTGAGATTCGAGATATGTTTTTCTCGTTGTGATGATGGATTGGCTGCGTGTTTGTGCTGCAGAAGGTGAGCGACCCGGAGCTGAAGCGGCTGCTCCAGGACGAGGAGAGGCTGACGGAGGCGGAGGTGGAGGGGATGGCGTCGCGGTTCCTGGCGCAGGTGAAGGACGGGACGTGGCGCGGGCAGGGGTGGCCCAAGGTGTGGACGGACTACTCGGTGTCCAAGCTGGCCCTGAACGCGTACGCGCGGGTGCTGGCGCGGCGGCTGCAGGCGCGCGGCGACCGGGTGAGCGTCAACTGCTTCTGCCCCGGGTTCACGCGGACGGACATGACCCGCGGCTGGGGGAAGCGCACCGCGGAGGAGGCTGCCGAGATCGGGGCGCGCCTCGCCCTGCTCCCGCCCGGCGAGCTCCCCACGGGCACCTTCTTCAAGTGGTGCACGCCGCAGCTCTACTCCAAGCTCTGACGGCCGCCGCGCCGCGCGAGCCGCGAGGCATCCGTGTAGTGCGGTGCGGTTTGTAATTGTGCGGACAAGCGCCTCGCGCCCTCGCCGTCCTGTGCCGCGCGGTCTCAGCAACGAGCTCAATTACTGTGTATACTTAGTAGGTGTGTGACCGTCCAGCTGAATATATGTTCAGAATCAGATCCAACATTAGCAGAGCGAAATCGGTAGCGCGGCCGCTTTATTCTATCCTTACCTATCTTGTCTGAATTCTGAAGTTGTGCGTTCCACCGTTAACGTTTAGCGAGAGAAGGAACGAGTTCGTTCTTCTTTTCTCCTTTTTTGGCGCCATGGATGTTCAGTGCAGAGGAGTCAGGACAGTATGCCCCGTTTAGTCCCCCAATTTTTTTTCCTAAAAATATCACATCGAATCTTTAGATATATGCATGAAATATTAAATATAGATAAATGAAAAAACTAATTGCACGGTTAGAAGGGAAATCACGAGACAAATCTTCTGAGCCTAAATAGTCCATGATTAGCCATAAATGCTACAGTAACCCACATATGCTAATGACGGATTAATTAGGCTCAAAAGATTCGTCTCGCGGTTTCCAGGCGAGTTATGAAATTATTTTTTTCATTCGTGTCAAAAAAAACCTTCCGACATCCAATCAAACATCTGATGTGACATTCAAAAATTTTCTTTTAACGAACTAAACAGTTGGTGCAACAGGGAAGAAACGAATAGTACTCTTGAAAGCCCAGAAGATCCAGACGAGCACTTTTTTTCAAGTTGGATGCTAACCATGTGTAGAATTTATACTGCCGGTGAAAATGGTCGCTAGATGATAAATCGGAGTTTTTGGATAATCAATATTCCCTCCACCCTAAATATAACTACTTATGACTTTTAAATTTTGTTATAAAATACACCGTCCGACGGAGGGAGTATAGCTACTTTTCCATCTATTTTCTCATCTCAACCAATCACTGCTATCTCGTATTTAATTTCTTCACAATTTTTCTTATTTCAACCAACAACAATCATTTCTCATTTAATTTCACCCCCTACGTGAAAAACTTGCGACATGCTTATATTAAGCGACAAAGGGGAACTCACTCTATTCACCAATATTTGTTGGTCTTGGTTTTAGATTTGTCAACTAGGGCTCCTTTGGAACATAGGAATTTTAAAACACAGAACCAGGAAAAACATAAGAATTGGAGTGACAATGTAACCCTAGGGAATATGAAAAAAAAATGAATTGCTCAATTGTGTTGTTTGAATGCTTCACAGGAAACGGTACATAAAATTGGAGAGAGAATGACCCGCACGAAAATTTTCAAGAGCCTGGAGCTCATGTTAGATTTACTTCAAGATTCCTATGGATTTGGTCATTCCATAGAAATTTGAAAGATCCATTCCTTTGATTCAAAGGAGCATATAGAAAAATGTTCCAAAAGATTCACATCCTACAAAAACACTTAGGTTGTGTTCGGATGCCCCTTTTCTCAACCCATCTCTCTCGTTTTCCGCGCGCACGCTTTTCAAACTGCTAAACGGTGTGTTTTTTGCAAAACGTTTCTATACAAAAGTTGCTTAAAAAAATCAAATTAATCCTTTTTTTAAAAAATAGCAAATACTTAATTAATCATGTGCTAATGGACCGCTACATTTTCCGTGATCACTGTTCCGATGGAAACTTGTTGTAGCGAAGACATCCTTAATAAAACCTTTGTTGCAAAGGAGCCCTTATAATTCTGGCGGTTATTTTTTATGCAACAAAGGTGAATGAATAGCTCTAGATGTAGAATAATGATTCATTTTTATATTGATTAGAAACACAATAGGACGGCTTGTACGGTTTTAAAAGCATTGCTGGTCAGAACCTAATCAGGCAAAATTTGGACCGACAACTATTCATCAACCGGGATAATTTTTCAAATCCATCAATCACAGGCATACTCCCAATTTAAGCTGTTGGCCCGTGGCTATTGGCGCCAAGCAAGATTTGTCCAGCAGCGGGTGCAGAGTGCCCCGATTCCGGGCTCAAAACAAGCCCACGGGCGCTTCGGGAGGGCCCACGAATAAAAGACCAAAGAGCCGTACCAACGAATCCCAAAAGCCCCCCACCCGATTACTCGAGGCGAGATAGGTGAGGCTGCAGGACGCCAAAAGCCTTGTGGGCCCCGTGCCGGCGATGCAAATGTTCACCGGCACAGGGTTGCTACAGTACAAGTAGTACACGTCTGTACCAGTACAAGTCTACTGCGAACGAAGGCCTGAGCTGCAACCTGCAAGCCTGCATTGCCTTTTGCTTTTCCAGCCCGAAAGCAAGGGGAACATCAATCATGGAGCCCTTACTTGGCACTCCAAACCTTTTAGTATTAGCGAGCAGGGATTATGTTATCCGCGATCGAGTTAGGCTGCGTCCTTTCAAAGAGATTGGGGAGAGATTAGGAAGATTGTCACTTGTTTTCCGCGCGCACACTTCCCAAACTACTAAACGGTGTATTTTTTGTAAAAAATTTCTATATAAAAGTTGCTTTAAAAATTCATATTAGTTCATTTTTAAAATTTAAAATAGTTAATACTCAATTAATTATGCGCTAATGGCTCACCTCGTTTTGTCTATCTTCCCAATCTTTCCGGTCCCCTCACCCTCAAACACAGCCTTAGTAGTAGCACCTGTTGCTTTTGAGTAGGGTCATTTCTGCACGCTAGTATTCTAGCCGCACCGTCCGCGATCTACGAACTGTGGCGAGAAATCCAGAGATATCGCCGGACGCGGACGCGACGTACCACCACCGGCGCTGTTTGGTTCCGTACGTTGATGCGCCCATTAATCTGGGCTTCGGCAGTACAGGTTCGTCCGTTCGCTTCGCCAAAGCGCGGGCGGGTTAAAATCAATGTAATCACCCCAACGGCCGGCAGGGACTTCATACCGATCACGCATTTAACCACGAACCCCAGAAAAAAGCCCAATGAATGCGTGCCCCGCGCGACGCCGCGAGTGCCACCGCTTCCCGCTGCTGGTCCCGCGCGCGCGCCTTGCCTAGCCGTTGCGTCGGCTGCCCGCCCATTAACTCTGCCCCGCGTTTGCTCGTTCCGGCGTCGCGTTTCGATCGCCCCCGCGCCGCGCCGCGCCGCGCGGGGGAAACACGTCGGTTTCGCCGGGTTTCTCCACGACGCGCGCGTACTTTGGCGTGCGGGGCGGGCGCTGGGCTGGGCGGGACGTCCGCATCGGTCGATATGGAAGAGTCGAAGAGAACGCGCGTGTTGCTCGGAGTTTTCTTCTTGCATCATTGCGAGACAACGACAAGAGCACAAGGAACGGGAGAAGAAGTGTAAGGGAGGGAAAAAAAATTGAGAGGGGAGACAGGGACAAGCAGGGAGGCTTCGCTGTTACGCTGCGATGGGTACGGCTTGGGGTTTCCTCCGTGACGTCGGCTCGGCTGCTTCCGTCGTCGTCGTCTCCTCCTCGTCGTCGGCCTCCGACTCCGATTCCGCCAGGGCCATCCGGCGGAGCGGGCTGGGGCCGAGGCGCCGCCGCTTGGCGGCGGCCGCGTGGCGGCGCCGGATCACCTCCATCTCGTTGCGCCGCCGCGTGGCCTCCTCGTCGACGACGAACCGCCGCATCAGGATGTCGTCCGTCAGCGACTTGCCGCGGAACACCGGCCGCCTCGCGCTCTCCCCGCCGGGGCCAGGCGTCCTCATCAGCGCCCTCTGCTCGGCCGCGGGCGGCGGCGCCACCAGCGGGTTGCTGTTTCCGCCTCCGCTGCACCCGGACGCCGACGCCGACGACGCCCGCGGGTAGCTGTAGCTCCGGCGCGGCGCCACGTCGCCCGCCTGGAAGTAGAGCGCCTGCTCATTGTACGACGAGATAGGCGCGCACAGGCAGACCCGCGTGAACGACGCCGCCACGTTCAGCGACGACGACTTCCGCAGCCGAGCCCCCATCCCCGACGCCGCCGCGGCCTTCGTCGTCGTCCCCGTCCCCGCCCCCGTCGGCTGCTTCCATATCAGCAGCAACACCTCAACCGCCCGCTGGTACCACGGCGACTTCTTCGACGACACCCCTCTCGACCTCGCCGCGCCGCCGCCGCCCGCCTCTTTCGACGACCTGCGCATGGAACCATCACGTCAGCCAAACACGTAGAACGAACCGAAGCAATCATCATCATCCCACATGCAAAGTGTGCGTACCTCGTCTGCTGCTGCTGCTGCGTTGTTGTGTTCTTGGCCATGTTTTGCATCAAGAGGGAGTGGAGAAACATCTGGGCAGGGCGGCGCGCGCGTGGTGGGGAGAAGAGGAGATGGGAGAAGAACTGAGGTCACATCAAGTTGTTACATTCGTGGAGTACTTGGAAGTGAGAAGGGATCATTCAGATCAGCTCAGCTCCCATGGCGTGGAGGTACACTGGGGAGTTAGTTAAGGGGGTCGGTCATCAGTGCGGCGGGTGAGGGGCAGTTTGGTCATGTCGCTTTTTGGGCCGTAGGATACTAGGATCAATGTCAAAGTTCTCTGGAGGGAATAAGGCTGCGTCCATGACCCAACAAGGAATGCTTTTTTGGGACCCTTCCAACACTGAAGCATATGAAGTACACTCTGCATGTGTGTTGCATACTCCTACTTGCATTATTGCATATATACATTTCCCTTGGAATTTTACAGCTTTCGGTAAAATCCCTTGTTCAAAATGGGCTTAATGGTAACACAACATGACGCTAGTCATGACTCATGGGTGACAAACATACTTGTGATACTTGATACTAACCCTTGCAATGGAGAGGTTTAATTAATTAATTGTAGATAGCTACTGCTATAGAATGTTCTGCTAGTTTTAGGATTACTTCATTTCCTACCAGTATAGTATATACAATGTTGTACACATACTATATAATCTACACCCCTAATTTCAGGGGAGACTTAACACATGCTGCGGAATTCCAGCGCTACATCTCAAAGGAAAAGATAAGGAAAGGAAACCATCCAGCCTTAGCTTTTGACAAGTTTCCTCCACTGCTTGATGGCTTCCTTTTCTCTTTGATCCTTGCATGTTAGCAGCACGCATATGCTTTCTCTTTGGCCATCATTCCTCTCAAGCTAATTGATCCAACATTTAAATCTCCCAATAGGCAAAAAGGCGGTGCGACGCTTTTGCATGTACTAGTATAAACCACCAACGGGCACTAAAGTACATGGCTACCAGGCTGCACATAGGGAGGTAGTTAAGGCTAAGATCACAAAACAGAGCCTTATTATAGTTTCTTATGTCGGCCAAATCGATCAGGTTAGGTACTAAGTACGTAGTACATACACGGCCGGCCACGATACTGATGTCTCTGCATTTTTATCCTGCATCTCTTCTAGTACTCGCGTGAAGAATTAATAACGAAATGAAGAGTGAATTTCAAGACATTTCGAATTTTCAATTCATGGTACTACCATGTTGTTATGTTACAGTGGTAGTACTAGAAAAAGGGTTGGGTGTGCGACATCGATCACCGAGAATAGTTTTTGTTTTTTCTTTTCCTTAGGATCGGTCAACTAATAGAGCGGAAAAGATTGATCGACAATGGGCAGAAAGTTCTATGGGTTTATGCATATAATCAACCAAGTTGGTGATTGATAGTAGCTACTAGGTGGTTGAGAACAGAGACAGGGCAGGAATAGAAAAGACACGCCTTGTTGCGGTCGTGGCGTATGTACGTACGCCTGTATATATACATGATGGATACGTGCGGTTCAGAATGCTGAGAAGTGAAGAAATTGATTAATCAAAATCTGGAGCTACCAAACCTACCAATTCACAACACTAACATTTTCTTTTATATATATTGAGGTCATGTCTCCTCTCATCTTCAGAAAAGCTAATAAAGGTTTATAACTACCACTGATCATTTGTTTTTCCTTTTGCCCCCTTGTACCGATAAGTATAAACTAGCTCATATATATATATATATATATATATATATATATATATATCTGCCTGTGCCAGCCTTCTGAAATCTAAAGTACTCCTTTCCTTGAACAGGAAAAAATGTTTAATTTGAAGCAACACTTGCCACACGTACGCGTTGCATTGATTAATCCTACACAAGAAAAATGTCACTCATGGTGTTGGTGACATGCTTCGGAAGTGCAGATCAATCGAAACTATCCTAAAATTTCGTTAAGTTTCGGCGAATTGAGCTAAGCTAGGGAGAGGGAAGCCATGATGATGGCCATGTTGGATCGGATGTGTAAGAAAAAACGGGGAGGGCGAAAAGGCAAAGGAAAGCGGCCATGATCGCTTGGGCCTAAGCTAGCCTGTGTTGATGCGATGCTTTAGCTTAGCTAGGCCGCTAAAGAAGATCGCCGTGATCATGTAGCTGAGCTTTAGCTTTAAATTACACGGTAATGGTATACTATTGTGTGCTGAGCCGATCGATCACTCAGCTTGATCACGCTCTAGTCTCTCTAGCTTAAGACTTGGTACACATGGATGTCGCAAAAGCAGGCGGCACAGCGTGGAATTGATGCCGCTGGATCAGAGTACTTCGGTTCCTGAATCCGTCGATAGGCAGGACCACTGCAGAGACTGATCGGCGATTTTATTCTCTCCAGGCTACAGCTAGACGACGGCTTAGCAGTTGAAACTTGAAAGCTCTTTTTTAAGTTTGTTCTAGTGAGCATAAATGCTACTGCTATGTATATACTGCTTGGGATCTTGTCCATGGGGGCGGAAATTGACAGTACCAGGCTATAGATAGATAGATGGACCCAAATCATATTTCCTGCGTCTCGATCGTATTAAAACGGGAACGGCGACTCAGGAAGGTGCCTGGCTAATGCCTGAACTGCTTCCGTTGTTGTTGTCGTCACGGCATGATTGTTCTGCTCGACTGATGGTAGCCACTAGCCTAATGATCCCTCGCCATCTCGCGTCCCATTGCCATAGCGATGGACCACCGGGGCTAGCGGGCCAGCCCGAGCCACTTCCTGTCTTTTCGATGTCTGGAGTCTGGACCAGAGGCCGGGCTCGTCGATCTGTCCGGTGTCCAGCGAGACGGTGCACGAATTGGAGAGAGCTTTTGGCCGGCCGGCCGGTAAGGCAAGTTCCGGTCAAAAGATCGGTCGGCGACCAACCAGGCCACCGCGGCCGCGTCAGTCTCCCGGACCGGCGGCACACGCGCATGATGACATGGGCCTCCCCTGCCGTGCCCTCTCTCCGATCTTCTTCATCAGCCTCGCCGGTCGTTGGTCCCTGCGCTCCAGGTAGATGATTATGAAAAAATTTCAAAAAAATTCACAAGATAGGTTAATATGTAATATATCACTTCACAAACATGCAAGTTCAAATTCGACTTCTACAAGTTGTAACGAAAATAACAAATCAAACTCTAACTAGTATACGTATATTCACAGTTAAATTTATTGTTTTTTTTACAACTTGTAGAAGTCGAATTTGTACTTGCATGTTTGTGAAGTGATATATTACATATTAACCTATCATGTCAATTTTTTTGAAATTTTTTCATAACCATTTAGATGACATGCAAGAAACGGGTGGACGTCCACCCGAGTGTTTAAAACAGTTTCCCCTGCTACTCCTCTTGACAAATATAAGCATCTCAATCGTTTAACATCTGTTTACAAATATGGGTGTGTTTAGTTCCTGAAAAAAAGTTGGAAGTTTGAAGAATGTTAGGAGTTTGAAAAAAAAAGTTGTAAGTTTATGTGTGTAGGAAAGTTTTTTATGTGATATGATGTGATTGAAAGTTGGGAATAGAGGGAAACTAAACACGGCCATACTCTCTCTATCATATTAAAAAAAACATCCTAAAACAAGATGTGACGTTTCTTAGTATAATGAATCTGGGCATGTACTAGAAAACGTCCTATCATGTCATATGTTTTTTTTAAGATGAAGGGTTTAGGTATTTTAGAGTACTAGTATTTGTCTCATCAATTATCTCCTTTTTTTTTCGTATTTTACCGTCAAACATCTTTTTCACACCCTCACTCATCTCAAATTTCATAAAGATCATCAAAGTCTTTTCTTCTCGATCTCAATCTCTGTGAAATGAACTAGAAATGTTTATATTTGTGAACAGAGCGAGTAGTTCTGGACTTAGAGAGAGGGGTCTGACTGACCGGCTACGGCTAGCCACCATGCCGCTTTGCGGCGAAGGCGTCGTACACGCGAATTGCGACGCTGTCGTGCGGTTCCGTTTGTTGTCGAAGTGATGATGTCCAGTTTCAACCAAGAGGGCAGCGACCTGTTCATGTCAGCTGGACTTTTTAGCTCTAACCGACCACAGGTGTTAGCTTTCGTATCATCAAGAAATCACCAGCTGCTACACGGTATAACCTGCTCCGGCTACATTTCAGCCAATAAATGCCTAAAATGACAAGCAATCGGTCCTGTCGAGCGTCACTTTTTAGTAGATTGAGTGTGCAGAAAAGATGCCATAATAGACTCAGTCGCTTCATGCCCACAAAGATATATACAGTAGTAAGTACACAGCACACGGGTCGTAATATACAATAATTCAGAGAGCTGAAAGAAGCAGATTTACAGTTGGACCAATATGTGCAGAAACATTCGTGAGCATGTACTCCCTCCGGTTCCATATAAATTGACGTTTTAGAAAAAACAAGGTTAAGGTCAAACTTTTATAACTTTGACCATCACTAACTTTAAAAATATTTGGTTTAAAAGAACTAGAACAACATATATAGATTTGTCTTTTAAAGCACTATAATAAAACTAAACATGCATTTATTTATTATATATATTATAATAGAAAAATAAGGTAAAAGATATATTTTGTAGACCGTGTCTTTGTCTAAAACATTAATTAAAATGAAACCGGAGGGAGTACAACAGAGAGCCAGGACCACGATTCACAAGCACTGTACACCATCATGACAACAGGTTATTGTCATGTACTCGTGTTCAACAAACTTAAGACCTTAATGGCATTGTTTCTTGCGAGAATATGATCTGATCTGTGTGGGATGATGACTCCACCGTTGATGCTAGCTAAACTGCATAATATACCCTACTGCATACATAATACAAACCCTATTGGCTGTTGCTACAACAAAGACTAGCCTACTGTAATATGGTACAGTTGAGGGTTGGGTGACAGGAGCCCAGGATTCCCTACCATGTTATGAGCTATGTGCCGCCAACTGCAAGCAGGTGCTGCTTCCCGAGCTGCTGACGATGCAAGGGAGATCTCGTACCTGGAGTTTCACGATTCGCGACCCTATGGAGTCGAGAACATCGACGCACTCCTGGAGATCTGAATCGTTTGCCAAGATGACCCATTCATCCTCGTCGTCCTTGTACTTGAGCTGGTATGCTCCGGTTGGCAGCTTAAATCTCTTTGCTATTTCTTCCAATAGGTGATACCAACCCATAGATGGCAAGAACTTGAACCGCACAGTGTCTCCGTTGTAGGTTGCCTTAACTGTCAGTGCAGGACTGGCTGCATCTTTAAGAGCACTTCTTGTGTTCTGTTTGAAGGTAGGGTGGCTTGATGCGCTGCCGCTAGAAGAGTCAGTCATACCAGAGGTAGAAGGGTGCATGTGGTCCTTGTCCTCGGCTTCATGATTGTCAAGCATATCAAGATCTTCTTGTTGTATAGATGGTGAGTTTCTTCCAACTATTTGATTTCTGGTGCTTTCGGAACTTGGGCGGAGAGAGCTAGAAGGATTGGTGCAATCTGTTCCCTTGAGATGCAAAGCACTAAAAGCACCAGTGGGACATAATGGACCTTGTGTGACCTCAGAATTAGATTTTGCTGTGGCATTTGCACCATAAAAATCACTGTTACCACTGCCAATGTGAAATTCATCCTCGTTACTTTTCTTCACATCAGAGATCTGCAACTGGCAACTTTGTCTTTGCGATCCATCAGGCAAAGAACACCCTTCTTCAGATTTTAGGTCAGAATTCTCTTCCACAGTTTTTCCGACTGATGGAGTTGGCAAACCATCGCAAGAAGGGAATGTCAACTTTTCTGGCAGAGAAACTACTGGAACAAGAGATCCAGTAGCAGGATCATATTGCAAGGATCTGTCCACACCATGAACAGAGTTTATGACAGTTTGAATCTTCTTTAATGAACGATTAACCTTGTTTATCTTGCGAGATGGCCATCGTGAAATTCCATGATGCCGGCATATCCGTTTCAAAGTTGTTGGACAAACTGCACCCAATATTAAAAGAAGGCATCAGCAGAAAGTCAACCATTTAATTATACCCTATTTACATAAAGTAGATCAAATAACACAGTAAAGGTTTGTTAAGTTCATTTTACAAAAAGACACTAGAGGCTCACCACCAAGGCTCTTTGCAGCATCCTTTAGGCTCCCAGAGAAGTACTTACGAAGAACATCCAAGCTAATATTCTTCTCAGCTGTACTGCGCTTTTTCTCTGCATGTCCTATGGAACTAGGCTGTACCTGCAGCGCAGAAGGAGATCAGTCAACAAGTGGATACACACATTCTAGATTCTAGAGTAAATTTCACAAAACCCCAGGTTTTGAGGCACATGTAAAGCAAAACCCCATGTTTATGGCAAATACTCATAATTTCATTATTATATATCATATTTTTGGTATATGTTCACATTAGTAGGCTCAAAATACATATCCCTCGCATGTATTTTATCTTCTTCCTTACTCTTACATTGCATGATTAAAAAAACACAAAATTATCTCATTAATACTGACACATTAATCAGATACCTATACATTTAAATAATCATACTACCAATAACCAATGCTTGTTAAAATGAGGCTAACATGTATATATACTCAGGAATATCTCATATTATAATTTTTCAATTATTATGCATAAATATATTAGCAAAAACAATGATATAAGCTTTAACATGGGGTTTCTTGAAACATTTTGCCCCAAAACTTCGGGTTCTTCGAAACAAATCGTAATACCTGGGGTTTTATGTTATGGGTACTTCAAAACCTGGGATTTTGTGAAAGTTACTCTAGACTTTTTATTATCAACTTGATTACATTTATGTATTAATGTTGAGTATGGATTTTGTGGATTTAACCCATCCCAGTATGACTATGGTGGGTTGCTACTAGCATGTTCAAATGAACTTTGCTACTAGCTTACTACCATTGGACACCTTTTCCTCTAATAAAACTGAAAGGTATATATAAAAATCTCACATCTCATTAATAAAGGTGATTTTGATGACATTATTCAATAGGCAAGAGTCAAAGATACATAATCCAATTGAATTTTCAGCAATGGCTATGACTACTAAGACACAATTATTCTAGATATTTACAGAACTACATATCTCTACAGAAGAAACTTTTAAAAAGGTTCAGTTTGGTCAAGTTCATTTTGATTGCTCATGTTTACTGCTGAAAATTTTGACCCGAACACACTAAAAAGGAGTTTATATTCAAGTTATGTCACTCAGCTTCTTACTAAATCAGGTGCATAGCATGACATATTTAGTTAAAGTTAGTAGAGCACCTGCTCAGCCAACTCAGGTTCCATGACTCCTGGCTTGTTAGCTAAAGATGTATCCTCGAATGAAGCTCCTGTGATTGATTGATCACCATGTGAAGAACTTTCTGTGTGTCCAGTTGGCAAGCAACTCTCATTGTTTTTCCTGAACACAGCTGCAGTACCAGCATTAACATTATCAACTTCTGCTTCATAAACTGTTCGCAGACTTTTGCATATTCTTTGCATTGTACTGGAGAGGTTATTCAGCAACATCTGTTGTTCTCCACTGCCTTTGCAGCTGACCGGGAGAAAGAATTCTAGTATGTAGTCATCATTGCCAGTGTATGTGCTCCTTAGACGAATGGCAACAGCAGCATGCAGACTAAACTTACGTGCATGGTGTGCAAGAGGGTAATCCTCAATACTGTACTCTCTTATATCAGGCGAGAAAAATGGCAAATTAGATTTGAGTGCTCGTCCTGCAATGCCTTGCCCTTTCTCAAGATGACGTCTGGCACATGCTTGAAGAAAACCTTGCATCTTTCCATCGTTAACATAACATGCAGATTCATGGATGCGTATTATTGTTTTCCCTGATTGTGAAAAACTGGCACCATCCTTTCCAACAACATAACCACCATCAATACCATTTGATGTAGGAACCCATGTAAGGGCCAGTGGAAGCATATGTGCATGGCAAATAGCTCTGAGAACATCTAAAATCTCAGTGAAGGCAAATTTCTGGTTCTCTGTATAAAACTGCAAACAAACAAATGGTACATTCATCAAACGTCAATAGATAACACAATAAAATGAGAACTTACATTTTTCCATGGGGTGCAAGAGAAATTATCACAATATAACCGTTCAGAACTCAAAAGGTGAAGATGGTACCTTCTGATTGCTAGAACCTTTTGTAGCCTTCAAGTTCACTGCCTGCAGAAAAGTAATGTGTTTAGTATCAAATGAAAGTACCAAGTGAAATATTAGACCATAAAACAAAATAATATCCAGAGTTTACCATTGATAAGAACGGAAATGAACCCACAACTTCACATTATTATTATCAACTCAGTGAATTATTATGTAGTACGCAAAGGAATTAAGGGAAGGATAGGATTTTTTTTCTGACAACACCGGATGATATATTAGCAAATGGATAGTGATTGCTAGAATAAATCAATCTAATAAAGGATAATGAAACTACTTCATATTACCAAATGGTGAATTACACTATATTTAAATCAGTGTTATATAAAGGGTACTGAAACTACTGTGGTGGAAACTACACAAGGGGGTATTTGCTTATTTGGATTTGGGGAATTTTTGTGGTAGTTAAAATCCTAAGGATTTAGTACCAATATATGTATAAAAAAAGGTCCTCAAAACGTTTTGAGAATGCCAATAATTGATTTCAAGGAATTCGTTAGTATGCAATACGCTGCTTAGAACTACATACTGGATATGTTTGCTAAAAGAACACTCTGTATGGTTCCATAGGAATTGGAAAACTTGCATCTAACTTTCAGTGTACTCTTTTCTTCATGGCATCCACAAATGAAACAAGGAATCGGATGCATATCTAGTATATGTACTTTACCACAGTGTTTATAGAAGTTGCTAACAAATGATGACATATGACGCACTACAGAATCCAGCCATAAGTATAGATGGGATAGCATTAGCAATAGTATCCATCACTTGTACTCAAAATTCGCCTATTTAAGTTTTGAAAGTGATAATTTCATGGTATAACATCATCAAGTTAGAACTTGCCTGCAAGGCATTGCAAACGTTGTCCATCTCTGCACTGAAATCAGGCTTCTCCTTTCTTGTAACAAGCTCAAACACTGCACAGCAAGAATCCTTGCTGGGGTCATAAATTGGCATTGCAAGTGACCCACGTATCTCGTGATGGAGAGCATGCTCCATCCTCAAATACTCTGGCCTATTATAGTAGAGGACACTTGAGGTCCATTCTGGCACCCCAGAGATGAAGACCCTCCCTGGAAGCCCTGGCTGTAGACCAGGCTCCTCCTTCGCTGAAAACACAAAGTGCCTGGATACTTCTCGATACCCTGCAAGAACCTGGTCGAGTAGAAAAGGTTGCTCACATGTACTCAGCACAACATGACCCTCCTGCTCAACAGGCATCCAGACTTGGGCAAGAGCACCGCTGCCCAATGATTCCCTGAACAAGGACAAAGCCATGAGCATCCTGTCAGCAAGTGAACTGCCCACAACAGACCTTGGAACCATGCTACTCCCTTGATGGGCACCATCGTCCGAACCAAGCTCGCCTGAACTCTTGCCCGTTTTCTCTGCTTCAGTTGGATTCACTGACATTATTTGAGAAGGTTCTTCCACTGCCTCCCCTAGGCCAGAATATGCATCGAGCGGCATATCTTCACTCGTACCAGCAGCACACGGCGATGATCCCATGGATGGCCACATAGCAAACATCCGGTGTGCAGCTGGATCATTTAGCAGCGAGAATAGTTGGTCGGCCACCGAAGGGCTGTAAATCTCCGAGTAACAATCAAGGTTCATGGCTGCTGCACCATAAGGATCATCTGAAGGGCCCATAGTACCGCCGGTGTTGCCATTGCAGCCAGCACGGTTGGATGGCGTAGGCATATCCATGGCTTTGCTCCACTCGTGCAGTTTAAAGATCCTTACGACTTATCCACTCCTACAATACCAACATCGAGTTGGAGCAACTGTATTCTGCCCTGGACAAGAAGCAGAGGGGATCACTGTATTCTGCCAAAAGACAGAATCTTTGTACAACACTGGGACTAGTTTAATGGGCAGCATCTGAACAGGAGACTGCTTTTCCGATCGTATTGTTCATAGAGGGATTAGGCCTACTCCCCAGGACTGGTGGATCGATCACCTGTTGAACAATCAGCACAGGAACTCAAAAGGTCAAACCTTTGGAGTGAAAGGTCAGGAAAGGTAGCGGCTTAAAGCATCAAGAGCGAATTTCAAAACAAATGATCCAGAGAAACGCACCAAAGGCGATCAAATCTGACGCCACCACCCACCTCAAAAGTCCCCAAAACCAGTAGCAAACAGGAACATCCGCACCAAATCCAAGTATCCAACCTTGAGCCCGGCAATGACGCGCAGAACTACACCTCCCGTCGTCCCGAGCTCAATCACCAGACCACGCGGAAGCCTCCAAGCTCCTGCTCCGGGAACCGTTTCTTGGTCGCGGCGCGGAAAGCCCCAACCCTCGCGCGGAGGAAACGAGGCCAGCAGCCTCGCCTCCTGATTGGGCGCAGCGACAAGAAGCGGGGGAAAAAAAACCGGGATACGGTGGCGCAGTTGGCGCAGATTTGGAAGGGGCAACAGCGCCCAGGGAGGTGGAGACTGGAGAAGCACGAAGGAGAGAGAAGAGGAGGAGATTCCTTGGCTCAGAAATTCCCAAACTCCCAAAGCCCTGTGCGCCTTTTATTCCAGGCGGCGCAGCAGCAGATTCTTCGTTTTTCTTGTCACCGATTTTTTTGGTTTGAAAACCTCTTGTCACCGATTAATCCTCTCTTTTTTTTCTCTAATCTCGTTTGCTTTGGGGAAAATGGAGGGGGATGGCGTGAACTCACCGCAAGAGAGGAGCGGAAATAATAAGTTGACGCGACCGTATCGTGAGTGATTAAAATTTGTGGGGTTAGTGCGTGAATCTTGATGAGTGTTTAAATTTGATGCAACTTGGTAGGTCAGTCGTGGATGGTTGCGAGAGGGATGCGTTGATGCGTTGATTTCTTTTTTTTCAGATTTCTTTTTTGCGATAAAAGCTTTTGATTGTATCACCTGTCTACGCACCTAATGCCACATGTTTGACAAATCGGAGTCGCCGCGCATCCTCTTCCCACTGAACTTATGTATACTGGATTAATAAATTAGAGGTTTGTCAAATTGTGTTTCGAAGAAGAAAAAAATTCGCTAGCTCCTGCGATCCAGTGCGCGGTTCTGCGGCTGTGCATGATTCGCTTGGCATTCGTTTGTGCCGTGCGATCCAGTTATTTCGTGCCGCCGCGCGTCCAGTCCACATCGACGGCCGCTCGGTGACGGCCGCCTGTGCTTCGCGAATTTTTTTAGGATTAATATTATTTTTATGGAAAATCGCAAAAGTAGTGGCCAACCGGGGAAAATCGCGAAAGTAGGTCCCTGTCGAACGGGTGCAATTCGATAGGGCACCTATCGAACGACGGGCAGTCGACAGAGCCCTGTCGAACGGCTGGCGTTCGACACGCTGGCCTGTCGAACGGAGGGAGTTCGACAGGGCCCACCACCCCGCGCCGCCAGGCCTGTCGAACCGGGGGCGTTCGACAGGTCCCTCCACCGACCCTGTCGAACAATGGGCGTTCGACAGGCCGGTTTAAAGCCCCGTCTCCCCAGCTCGCGATGCTTGTTCGATTTATTTGAGGACCACATCGCCAGCCGCCGTCGAGAGTCGCCACATCGTCGCCGTGAGCGCCGGAGGGAGCGAGGGGAGGGGATAGCAGGCCGGAGAGGAGGCGCCGGCCGGGAGGAAAGGGTTGGCGACGCCCTCCAGCAGTGAAGTTAAGGTATACATTAGTAATCCCTAAGTACAATGCATATGAAAGTTTAATAAAAAATTGGTTTAAGAGTTGTTAATTGTTTCGCATTGTTCGATGTTAGTATGTATGGTTAGCACATATTTGTTATTGCTAAATGTTGGTAGAGGTATTTAAGTAATTGTACGGTTAAATTAGTTCTTAGTTAGTACATATTATTGATATGTTGTGTGTTAAAATATGTACAAAGGTGTTATATTTTATTTGGATTATTAAACTAGTTGTTTGTTACTAATAGTTGTAAATTAGTACACGGCAATGTAGTATAAGTTGTAATAGGGTAATTATCGAATGATTAAATGATTAAACGTGAGACTATTTGTCATGTTTTATCAGGATGTCAGGTGATATGCCCATTCGTCTGTATTATGGCGATGCTCCTATACAAATATGTGATAGCGGGGTGGATTTGACTGTATATGCCTTCCATGATACTAGTCTGAATGCACCGGAGCATATGGGTTTGAACGACGTGTTAGGGTGGTTGTATAATATGTTTGGGGTAGATCCAGTGCACGATAAATTTGTCATAAATGCCGTGTGGCCAGTGAGGGGTCAACATGGATGGCAGTGGAGAGTAGTGGAGGTTGCGTCAACTGGGAGTTGGAGGAAGTTTGTTAGTAAAGTAAGGGAGAAAGGCTATAGCCTGGCAATAGTGGTGCAGAAGACAAAATGTGTTGATCGATCGGGGGAGTCAAGTCATGCCGTGGTGGAAGAAACTCCGTTGGAAGGTGGACAAGCTGAAAATGTTTGGCGGACTGAGCAAGGTCGAGGGGAAGAAGTAGTAGAGGGTAATACACAAGGAGAGGTCATTGTTCGTGGTACTAATCGTGAGGCCAACGACTCGGACGATGAAGAACCGGATTCGCCTATGCGTGTTGATGCAGCGGAGGAGAATGAGGCGGTAGTGGATCAGATGGAAGTGGAAAACGAGGAATACATTGCGCTTGTAGTGGAAGGAGAAGATACAACATTGTGGGACAACGAAACTTACATACCCGATAATTGGACGACCATATCAATGAGTCGTATGAAGGTAAACGATGGTTTAGATGCCCACTGGTGTTATGATAGTAAGCAGGTGAAAGTTGGACAGATGTTTCATGACAAGGGTCACTTACAAGATGCGGTGAAGAGGTGGGCATTTGTCCAGAAGCGTGAGTTCAGGGTGAAGGTTTCAAATAGGACGACGTATGACGTGAAGTGCATACAGGGTGGATGTCCTTGGAGAGTGCATGGTTACAAGCCACAACATGACACTTTATGGGTAGCTTCGAGGGTTGAGCAACATACGTGTTTGTTGGAGAATACCCGTCTGGTGCACAGAAACCTGACAGCGGCATTTGTGGCACAAATGGTATATTCAAAGGTGGTTAGAAAAACATCTTTGTCCCCTTTCACCATAATGCATGACGTTGAGAAAGAGTACGGATATGAGATATCGTACGACAAGGCTTGGAGGGCAAAACAGAAAGCATTGGAGATGAGGTTTGGAACTTATGAGGATTCTTATCACAATCTTCCCCCACTATTGGAGGTGATGCAGGCAAGAAACCCGGGCACACACATGGCTATTCTCGATGAGGTGAATGAATATGGGGAGAATGTTCTTCGTCGGGCTTTCTGGTCATTTGGGTGCATGATAGAGGCCTTTAAAAATTGCATTCCTTTGCTCTGTGTTGATGGCACTTTCATGACAGGCAAGTACAGAGGAACAATTCTAACCGCGATCGGAGTCGACGCGGATAGCCATGTCGTTCCTGTTGCTTTTGCATTTGTTGAAAGCGAGAACACATCAAGCTGGCTATGGTTTTTGCGGCACATTAAAATGTGTGTTGTTGAAAACAGACCAAATGTGTGTGTTCTGCATGACCGACACGCCGGTTTGCTATCAGCGATACAGAAGCTTCAAGAAGATGTCACACAGTCCGTGCCATGGCCAGATTTACATAGCAGATGGTGCATGCGACATTTTGGGGCTAATTTTTATAGACAATTCAGGAGTAAGAGATTGATGGACCTGTTCAAGAAGTTATGCAAGCAGAATCAACAAAGAAAGTTTGATGCCATATGGGAGCAACTGGATCGTTTGACCACTACACACATGGAAGAGGTTAGGAAAAAACCCATAGTTGCCAGATAGGAGGAGCCGGAGGGACTTGAACCCATTCCTAATGAAGCACCAAGTATTACTCGGCGCAGGAAGCGTGGAAGGGCCACGAAGTGCTTCACGGAGTGGGTAGAATTTGAGCCAAGGGAGAAATGGTCGTTGTTGTACGATACAGATGGATCGAGGTATGGTGTGATGACAACAAATCTTGCTGAAGTGTATAATTGGGTTATGAAGAATACACGACCTCTACCACTTGTTGCTATCCTGGAGGGCATCACGAGGGGTACACAGAAGTATCTCTGTAAAAGGTATTCCATGGCTAGTCTGAACCTCAGCAAACCCAGTGTTAAGTATAGCCCCGCTATTACACAGTACATGGATGAGAAAAGTAAGAAGGGAGGAATCCACAGAGTGTGGCCTGCTGGGAATAGAGAGTTGTTATTTGAGATACGACTTCGTGACAAGAGTGGTGTCGGCATTGGGACTACTGACATCACATTGGAATGCACGTTGTGGCCAGAGTATCACGCTTGCAAATGCAATTGCAACAAGCCTTACCTGTTACATCGGCCATGTTCCCATGTTCTTGCTGCTTCCGCAAAAGGGGGTGTTGATGGAAACATTTTTGTTTCTCCCTACTTTAGAAAAGAATCGTGGGAGGCAACTTGGCGTGGTGAATTGCGTGGTTGGCGTGCCGTGTGTGATTTCACTCGTCCTCCTCCAGGGCAAGCCAATTGGGTTCCTGACTCAAATTTATTAGTTGATACTAAGGGTCGTCGCCAGTCACGCAGGATCAAGAACCTTATGGATGAAGCTGAAGTGAAAGATCGTTCTCGTCGTAAGAAAGCTTGCATTCTTTGCGGGGAGAACCATTCCCGTAAAGATTGCAGCATGTACAATGTAGGGCAAGATGCCACAGGCGCTGATGTTCGTCGCGTTCCAAAGGGGAAGTCGAAGAAGAAAAATAATCCTTAGTTCGCTATTATCCTTGGTGGACTCCCTACTTTGAAGATCGTTATTGTTCAATTTATGTTTAGTGCGTCTGTAATTTTAATTTGAACTTTCTTGCACTTTTATTACCCGAATCTATTTGTAATGGCCTTGTAATTTTCATTTTGAACTGCACTGCACTTTTAATATCGTCATGTATTTGTATTGGAATTGTAATTTAAATTTCGAACTGCACTGCACTTGTAATATCGTAATATATGTGTCGTGGGCTTGTAATTTTAAATTGAAATGTACTGAACTATTCTTATCTGTATCTATGTGTGCTGGTACTGTAATTTTAAATTGAAATGGCATGCAAATTTGTTAATTGAATTATGTTGCATACATTTATTGTACTGTTACCATACGTGCATTGTACTAATGTGGTTTTCGATCTGCAGGTATGGCTGATCAAAATGATGGGCAGCTGATAGACAAGGAGATCGATAGGAACCATCGATCGCGACGTCTTAGTACAGGAACTTTCTGCAATGTGCTAAAGATGCGAGGACCGGATCAATATTGGCGTATTGATCCTCGTTGGGTTCCAAGGTGTGTGAAAATATATTGTTTTTACTAATACAAGGTGTTTATATTTTCATGTATTAATAACTTGCGCTCTGTCATGTTGTAGGCTGAGAGCAGCTGGGTTGTTGACGTTTGCACGGTTGGTCGAGCCTTCACGTGCAAGGTCCGAACGAATCCACATTGACGCGGCGCTTATGAGTGCTCTTGTCGATAGATGGAGGCCTGAGACCCACACTTTCCACCTCACAGTTGGAGAGATGGTGCCCACTCTGCAGGATGTGTCTTATTTGTTGGGGCTGCCGATAACTGGGCCAGCAGTTGGCCCAACAATGGTGAATGCTGGATGGGCGGATGACCTTCTGGCCAGTTTTGGTGGTGTGCTGCCTGTTGCACTGGAGGATCTCACAGATGGGCACGGGCCTACGAAAAGTTGGTTGAATCAGTTTCGACAGGATGTCTTCCCTGATGACCAGGAGGAGTGGATCGTGCAGCGGCACTTAGTCGCTTACCTGTTGTGGTTGTTTGGATGGGTGATGTTCACGGGAACTCACGCTGACTCCGTGGACAAGCAATTCATCCACTTTGCGGAGCAGATTGCAGAGTTACCTATCGCGGAGATTCCACAGTACAGTTGGGGGTCGGCGGTACTTGCGGCGACATATGCCGGACTGTGTGATGCTTGCGTGAGGAACAGCAAGCAAAGTTCACTCCCTGGATGCCCGTTGCTACTTATGTTGTGGGCGCACGAGCGCTTCGACATTGGGAGGCCTCAGCTTGACTCGTACGCAAACTACGGTTTGCGAGAGATGTACAGGTCTGGTGTTGATGACATCGACGATCGTCCCACTATGGGATCCTTGTGGACACACCGTGAGGTAATTTTTGTTAAATTCGTTTATGTTATCATTATGAATACTAGTTCACAAACTTTCCTTATATGACTAATGAAAACTACTACTTGTTACAGCCGCAGTGGGTTAGCGGGACGACACGTCGTGTCTACACTCAGTTTGTAGCTGACTTTGATCAGCTTACGCCTGACCGTGTTCGGTGGACTCCCTACACTCAGCACGATGTCAATGATCGTGCACCGCACGGTCTCGCGGATCTTTGCACGCGAGATATGCAACTCTGGAGGACGACTTGTCACCTCGTGGTGGACGTGCACGTCGAGCCACACAATGTCCACAGGGTTCTCAAACAGTTGGGCATGTATCAGGACTTCCCTCCGAGAGATGGTCGTCCTTTGGCTGATAGTCTTCATAGGTTAGTTCACATCACAGTTGTTTAATCCTACATTTTTTAAAATAAATCACTGCACAACATTTTTTCTGATGTGTGAATTTGTTGTTGTGCAGGTACTCCAGAAAGGGGCTCGGGCTTTCCTACGAGCTAGTTATTGTGACCACGGTTCAGCCGACGGTACAAGAGTGGGAGCACGCAGCTGATAACTTGGCACTTCAGACACCTCCAGACGATGGGAGTTATTATGGAGCTTACCTTCGTTGGTACCGCAGTGTTACACGATGGAGGTGTTTTCCTCCACAAGGAGATAGCACCGTCCCCCACCAGGCAGCGATTACTGACACGTTTGCCCATCAGCCTAGATCAGCTTATAACTCAATGGTACGTGTTTATTTGTGGAATTTGAGCAACTAGTTCAATATTTTTAAAAAGTTAGCAAGTAGTTCAGTATGTCTAATAAATGTGCAATTGGTTCACCTAGTTCCTTTTCTTACATAAATGTGGAACTAGTTCAGTATTTATAAATGATGTGCAACTGGTTCATTATTTCTAACAAATGTGTATCTTGTTAAATACTCTTAATAAATGTGCAACTGGTTAAATAATTTTAATTGCCTTGATTATTTGTGGAACAGGCGGAATTTGTTGAGCACGTTCACGTGGAGTCCGACACCCTGCTGCAAAGACTAGAGGCGAGACCTCCAGTCGTCAGGTCTGACGACGTGGCGAGTGTCCTTCGCAACTTCCGTGCACGTGCTGCCGCACTACTACGTCGTGTCTCCTGTCGGAGCGCGGCAGATGTGGTGCAGACGTCGGGCCGACGGCCATCACCACCACTACCCCGACGTTCCAGCGTGGATCGGAGTGGTCCATCCTCTTCACGTCGCGGGTACGAAGCGGCCCACACATCTCACGGTCGTCCTTCCTTTCAGCACACCCCAGCACCGGAGTACACCAGGGGGTCAGCCGGATCAGGGGTACCCACGTCGAGCACGACACCACCACGTCCGCAGGTATTCCAAACTCCGCCTTATGTTCACCCCTCGCAGGGAGCATCTGGGTCGGCACACTTCCCTTACATGCCAACGGGGGACAACGTGTTGAACACACCAGCATGGGGACTTCATATCACTCCGCGTGCGCCAGAGCAGGGCCACACACAGCACACATGTAAGTCATTTTAAACAATAACACGCTTTAGTTTCTAATTATATGTATTGTTACTAACTACGCCATATTTTTTGGTTTCTCCCTCTTGTACAAACAGACGATGAGTACGGTTCGGCGTCGACGCATCACGGAGTGCCTGCTTACTCCCCTCGCACAGCATTCATTGAGGACTTCTTTTCCACTGATCCTCCCCAGGGGGAAGTAGGGATGGATTACTGGCACGCAGCACCTCAGGTCACAATGCCGACGCAGGAGACGGAGGCCGGTCAGGGGCCAGACGTGACACCACAGCAGGCAGCTAGAGATAGGCACCCCCTGATAATTTGACATATCCCACTGAGCAGATTAGGCGTAGGAAGAAGGGAGGACCTAGCAAGCGTGCGAAGGGCACTGATCGTCCTTGACTTATCTATTTATATTAAACTTTTAGTCATTTATGTTCTGTCCGTACTATTTGAGAAACACTTTACGATTAACTTAGTACTATCAGTACTATTTCATAAACTTCTTCGGATAATTACTCAGTAGCATACCCTTCGAATGAATCATGACAAATTATCATTCAAATATACAAATAATGAAACTAAATAATTCAAATATTTTAACCAACAAATAAATACTACAATTTCTGACCAAACATTATCAAAACCCTAAATCACATACATATAACATTACAAAAATATTTTCCTTTCTTACACACTAAAATAAATTACATATTATTAAAAAAAATAACTTATTACAAATAAATGGAGAACGCGACCCTGTCGAACTGCGGCAGTTCGACGGACATCCTGTTGAACTGCGGCAGTTCGACAGCCCAGCCTGTCGAACGGGGGCTGTTCGACAGCCCTGCCTGTCGAACGGGGGCCGTTCGACAGGTCCTGTCGAACGGCAGCCTTCCGATCTCGTCGCCAGTCGCGCTCTGGCCGTTCGATAGGCGCCCTATCGAACTGCACCCGTTCGACAGGGACCTATTTTCGCGATTTTCCCCGGTTGACCACTACTTTTGCGATTTTCCATAAAAATAATATTAATTCTCAAAAAAATTCGTGCTTCGCACTCTTGACCGCGCGCGTGAGCGAGATGGGGAAGGGAAGAAACACGTACGCTAGATTCTACAGGGCCCCGCGAAGATTGCTCCCGTGTCCGCGCGCGCTCTCGCCGCCGTCGCCGTCTCGCTCGCTCGCTCGGCTGAGTCGCCTCGCGCACGCGCGCCCGTCACATCCGCTGCGTCGTACTCCCTCCGAACCAAAATAAGTGCAGATTTACACTATTCACATTCAACGTTAACGTTCGTCTTATTTGAATTTTTTTATGATTAGTATTTTATTGCTATTAGATGATAAAACATGAATAATATTTTATGTGTGAATAAATATTTTTAAATTTTTCATAATTTTTTAAAATAAGACGAACGGTCAAACATTGGGCACGGATATGTACGGCTACACTTATTTTACTTATTTTGGGACGGAGGCAGTACTACTTGGCTGGAGAAGCTAGTTCTAGTGCGATGGAGATAGCAAACGCAAAGTACGGACGGGACGGAATACGGTAGTTGGTGTGCGTTCGCCCACAGTGTCGATCTCATCGCCGCTCGCGGCGTAAGAGCAAGTTTAATAGCATAGCCAACTACTAACTCTAATTCATCTATAGCCAACTAATAGCTCATTTATACAATAGTTATATACTACACAATTAATAACTGGTCCCACCTGTCATGCATACACTGCGTCTTGGAGTCCGTACTATAGCTGGCTACAAATATGTAGCCCGCTCCTCTCCTCTCTCCTCATTTATCTTCTTAAAATATGTTTGCAGCTGGCTTATAGCCTGTACATGCTCTAAGAGCAAGGATAATAATAGACTATAAGCAAGCTATATGCTTATGTGGAAGAGAGAGATAAAAAAAAGTGGATAGTGTTGTCTCTCATGCAAGAGTCAGCTTCACACAAGCCACAAGAAATATGCATTAAATTCATAGGGTGAGAAAGAAAGAGAATGGAAAAAATAAAGTTAACTTTATAGCTAATCTATTATATAAGTTAGCTCCAACATTCACTTATAGTAAGTAGTGAGCACAACTATTAAACTTGCTCTAACATTGACAGGATGCGCGCGCATGCCAAGGCAGGCGTAGTGAAGTGTCGAGTGTTGCATGGCTGAGGATCAATTGGTCGAAGCGCCGGAACGAGAGCCGCGCCTGCATGGGAGCCATGTGTGCAGTGTGCTCGACACGAGTCGAAGCCATGCATGGACTCTTGGAGTTTCTTGCCGACCAGCCTCTCCTTTTCGCGCTAGCTAGCCAGCTAGCTGCGGTTTGGCCCGCCGGGCGTGCAGCGTGCTATAGCGTCAGCTGGTTGTGCTTGTGCCTTTGCTATAAACCGAACGATCGACGGTAGTAGAATATCGGGCGCCGAATATAGCCAGTACAGTATGCATCTCCCTTCGTCTTCTCTCATCGGTCTTTTCTAACGTGTGTCTATTTCTGCTGCCATTGCAGGCTCGAAGCGTAAACCAGATTCACAGAGCAGTGTGTCGCCTAATGAAGTGATTCAACTCAATGACACGCTACTTTCTCCGTGCTAAAATATAGATATTTTTTAGTTGGCACGTGCATTAACAAAGTAGATGTTAATGACTAAAGAATATGTGTGATTAGTTAAGAAGATAAATAGATGAAAGGGAATGGTCGTGATTGGATGATAGAATAAGTGGAGAAATAACTTTATTTTTGGGACACGGTATTATGCTATAAATAGCAATATTTTAGAACAAAGGTAGATGGGTACGATTTTGGTTTTTTTTTACACTGTAATTAAAAAGATAATGGTCACCATTACCATCATTGACATGTGGAACATGATATTAGAATTTAGGTGAGTCACTATGTACTCTAGACTGTAACTCTTTGATTTTCTCAATATGACATTTTGTTTGTTTTTAATATAAAAAGTATTTGTTTCAATCAACCAGTCAATTATAATATATATTTCAATAAGGACTTAATTTTGCTATGTTTAATACTTCCTCCGTTTCACAATGTAAAACTTTCTAGCACATGTATGTGTTTAGATTCATTAACATCTATATGTATGTGGACAATGTTAGAAAGTCTTACATTGTGAAACGGAGGGAGTATTATGTTACAATGCACGTGCGTTTGGCTAGTTAATGTAAAAGATTGAACTGAATTATTTGTGACCGAATGCGTGCCATCCATTTTCCTAAAAGAAAAAAAGAACAATAACGGTTATAGAATGGAATTATCTCATTCTCGGAAAATCAGGATGGGATGGGACATCACACCGCATGTTGTGTACACATGCTTATTAGAGATTTTGAGAGTAAAAAAGTTAAAAATATTAATAATTTAGTAGATTAGATGGGCTAGTTAATTACATGTATGTCTTTTTTTAAACCTAAACCAGTCAAAGCTGGTTTTATTTAAGTAGGAGAGAATCTTGACATAATCACCAAGGGTGACAGGAAAGTAACATGAAAAATGAACACATCTTGCTACATCAGAGCTTGCTAAGGTATTATTCTCGCAATGTCCTTAGCTCCACGTACAGACCAAGTTTCACTTCATCCAGTATTTTTACCACTAACTAAAGTATTGAAAGTTCTTTGCTTTTGAAGATCTGTCTATTTCTTTCACACCAAACTTTTCAGCAGAGCAGCATGTCTTATATTGTGAAACATTTAAAAAAACAGTGTCTTATATTTTGGAATAGAACGAGTATTTTTTTTGTTTTGTTTATGTATCAGGAGGTAAAGTTAGAAACCTTGTCTCCCGAACTAGTGTGGAAATAAACGACAAGACGCTCCGCGGTGCGCAGGGTTTCTGGCCGGCGTTTCGAGGCTATGGATCGCTTGGCATTCGTTCATGCCGCACCCGCACGGGGGGCGTCGCATGGTGCGATCCAGCTCTTTCGTCGTGCCGTCGCGCGTCCAGTCCACATCCACAGCCGCTCAGTGACGGTCGTCTGGGCTTTGCACTCTCGAGTCTTGACGCACGCGATGGGTTATCCCGTGTCCATGCGTCGCCCACGTGGCTGTGACATCTGCTGCGTACTTGGCTGGAGTAGATAGTGCCTAGTGTCAATCTCATCGCCCGGTCGCGCGCGCGTGGATTGATAGGACATGTGACGCGCGCGTAGGGCTGTCAACGAGCTGAGCTCGAGCGAGCTCGACTGCCCAAGCTCGAGCTCGACACAAGCTCGAGCCGAGCTCAAGTCAAGCCTATTGCACCTTCGAGTTTTTAGGCAAGCTCGGCTCGAGCTCGTTCGAGCTCGAGCTCGGTACCGAGCTCGGCTATAAATAGTATAATATATATATAATAATAATCTCTTGATAAGTATAATTATTTTCTAGTTAATCACACTAATAAAAGAGTATAAAATGATTAAAATAAATATATTGTGCTAACACATGATAATTTATTTTGTAAATAGATAGTAATATATATATATATATATATTAATAAGATGAACATGCAATACAAACTATACACAGTCAAGCTCGTCCAGACTCGGTAAAGCTCGCGAGCTTTTGCTCAGGCTCGAGTTTGGCTCGTTTGGAGCTCGAGCCGAGCTTGAATCGAGCCTAGGACAAGCCAAACTCGAGCTGTTTGCGAGCCTCGAGCTTTTTTTACATCCCTGCGCGCGCATTGCGGAGTGAAGCGTGTCAAGTGTTTTCATGGTTGAGGATCATATCGATCGGTGTAGCAGTAGCAGGTACTGGAAGCTAGCTATCGCCGGCACGCCGGAACGACGAGAGTCGCGGGTGCGTACGTGGGAGCCATCAGCCATGTGTGCTCGACACGAGTCGAGAGCCATATGCAATGGACTCTTCACTGGTGGAGAAACCATCTTTGGTCGGTCGCCCGAAATCCACAATAGTCTCGGTTCCACTAAAAACCGGGACTAAAGATGATCTTTAGTCCCGGTTGGTGGCTACAGCGGGCATATTTGATCTTTAGTCTCGGTTGGTGTTACCAACCGGGACTAAAAATGATCTTTAGTCCCGGTTCTAAATCTGTCAGGCCTTGTCAGGCCCCCCGATATCTTTAGTCCCGGTTGATAACACCAACCGGGACTAAAGATAGGATCTTTAGTCCCGGTTGATATTATCAACCGGGAGTAAAGATCCCTGGGATCTTTAGTCCCAGTTGGTAACACCAACCGGGACTAAAGATGATCTTTACTCCCGGTTGATAATATCAACCGGGAATAAAGCGTACGCACCAGCCCACGCACAAGCGCATGCGTAGCCCATCCTTATCTCTTTTTCTTCTCCTTCCTTATCTTCATCCTCTCCCCTTCCTCTTCTCTCACCCCCTCTCCTCCTCCCCTCCCCCTCTTCCTCTTGCAGAGGCAGCCGACGGCGGCGGGATGGGGGATGGGCGCGGGCTGGCAGCGGCCGGCCGGCGGTGGCGGGATGGATGCGGCCGGGCGCGGGCTGGCGGCAGCCAGGTGCGGGCTGGGGCTGGCGGCGGCGGGATTGCGGCTGGGCGCGGGGCCAGCGGGATGGAGGACGGGCGGCGGCGGCCCGGCGTGGGCCGGCGGGATGGAGGCCGGTCACCGGCAGCCTCGCCCTCCCCTCCTCCAGATCCGGCCAGAGGGGAAGCGGCGGGATGGAGGACGGCCGGCGGCGGCCCGGCGCGGGCCGGCGGGATGGAGGCCGGTCGCCGGCGGCCTCGCCCTCCCCTCCCCCAGATCCGGCCGGAGGGGAAGCGGCGAGATGGGTGGCCGGCCGACGGCGGGATGGGAGGCCGGCCAGTGAGTCGATTTTTTTTTGATTTTTTTTAATTTGTGGTTTGGATGTTTTGATCTGTGAATGAATCTATAAATCGATATTGTGAATGAATCTGTGATGTTGTGAATGAGTATGTGACTCGATGTTGTCAATGAACCTTTGAATCAATATTGTGAATATATTTGTGATGTTGTGAATGAATATGTGAATGGATATTGTGAATGAATTTGTGGTGAATCTGTGAATCGTGCTGTGGAGTTGTGATGTGGATTTGGGGTTTGATTTGATGATATGCATACCACTCGATTCGGGAGAAAATAAAAAAGAAAAAATGACTAGCTGATGGACTGCCGCTACCCTCTCTTTAGTCCCGGTTGATGACACCAACCGGGACTAAATCTTTAGTCCCGGTTTTTTCAACCGGGACTAAAGATCGATCTTTAGTCCCGGTTTTTTCACCCGGGACTAAAGATAGCGATCTTTAGTCCCGGATTGGTAGTCCCGGTTTAAAAACCGGGACTATAGGGGGTTACGAACCGGGACTAAAAAGCACTTCTCCACCAGTGCTTGGAGTTTCTTGCCGACCCAGCCTCCTCTCCGAGCGAGCTACTCCAGCTAGCTTAGCTAGCTGCGGTTTGACCCGGGCGTATCGGGCGCCGACGGTATGCATCTTCATCGCTTCATGCGTCTGTTCTGACATGGCCACGTAGGTCTACTTATATGTTGTCATATATGCAGGGGCTCGAAGCGTACATACCGCTCTCACAGGGCAATGTGTCGCCTAGCTACTTGATGTGTAGATTTAGATGATGAAAAATTTTGAAAGATCGAACCGAATTGTTGGGTGTGATCGAATCCGCAGCATCAACTTACTAGCCAGAAATAGTGTTTACGTCATCGATCAAATGTAAAATATGATTATTATCCGCTTCTAGAAAAAACAGGGAAGGGACCATCGATCCATTCCGTCTTGTACTCAAATGGCTTTAAATTTGTAAAATTTCAAATTGACTTTAAATTTGTAAATTTCAAACTGTCCTGTATTCAAATGGTTTTGTTTTTTGTGTCAAATTTGTAAATTTCAAACTGACTTTAAATTTTTAACAAAATTCAACCATAATTTACCAGAAGTCAATAGTTTTAAAATGGTTTTTGCAGTAACCAGTTGAATCGTTAATGGTGCATACCTACCAAAAAAGTTTCATATTTGTCTATATTGACTTCTCGAGGAATAACTCAACCATTCTTTGTTGCATGGATATAAATTGTCCTTGTATAGTGTATATTGAATTGATTAGATGTAATTGTTGATTGTCTTGAATAAATATTTTTAAGGCCATATCATATTATTTTTTATATATGACATGAATGGAATGAAAGCTTAAATGGACGGATTTTAGGAAAATTATTTTCACTGCCATCAAATTTTAATATCTTATTAAAAATGTTACAACGCTGTAAGGACATATTACTAGTGCTTATAGTATAACGTGCGGTTAAACCAATGCATAGTCTAAATTAGCATTTGAGCTTTTGGGAGTTAATCTTGGATGTCATCTCACGTACGCTTACTAATCTATCATGTTCGTTATGTTTTCTTCACCTTGCTGCTGTGTATCGGTTTAGCCTGAATTTCCTAATATTTTCCATGTGTAACGCTTCAGCCGCTCCAATAAAAAGGAAAGAACTAGCCTAGACAATTCTAGGTAAAAGTGATAATAAAACTATTAATTAGGTGAATATCGGTTTAGGCTCACTTCTAACCGAAGTTTGGATCCTCTTTACCATATATCTTTACTCCATATTTACCATATTTCTTTACTCTAGCCTAGACACCACTTTGTAGACCCTTTTCCCTTAACATCGTTCGCTGTTCATAAATTTTATTTTCAACCCATTTTTTTCCCTTTTCAAATAAGCCTTCTTGTCTATGTTTTTAAATCTGAAAGATTTGAACATATTAATACACGGTAAAAAAAACATACGATAAAATAGGGGTTAACACAGTCAGGCCGATGTCAGTTTTTGATATTTTTAGCAATAAGATGAACCCGTCTAACGGCAATAACATGTAAACAAGGGGTTGGTAACACAATCCGGTGTGGCTACTTGCTCCGTTGAAATAAAATTTTGTGAACATATGCCCATATCATGCTCCTTCTCAACGAAGGTTTGACCGGCGGCGAGGACCCATACTTGCCATGGCAACTCGCTCCCACTAGCGAGGATTTCAAGGACTGTGTGGTTACAAGTATGCCACGTATAGTGGCGAAGCGAGACCAACGTCGTTTCTATGCATGAGTAATCATGCATAGTCTCGTGGTTAATTTGGCAGAAACGCAATGCCAATATCTCCAATCCAACGCTCAAATGGTGGAGGAGCTGATCAATGTCATCACGAATGAATGGCAAAAAAAAACTCGATCATGGTGGATTTGTTCAATTTTGACACTGGTTCACCTATATATTGTCGTAGCCGAGGTCCTCAGGACCAGGATAATGCAATGAAGAGCGGGAAGCCATATAAATCATTGTAATTTGAATATTTTCTTTCCAACATTTGTTGATAGTAATAAAATGTTTCCCTCAATCTTAATAGAACTCTAACCATATAGCTTGAGAAAAATATATAGAAATCTAGATACACTATAGTCCTTGATATGATAATCAATCTTTCCTCTATATTTTTACGAGATCCTTTTTGCTACTTTCAGGGGTTAATGTGTAATACTATTTCTTTGTAGGAACCTCTGTGCAACTTCGAAGGTGTAACTGAATTATAGAATCTATCTAGATCGTAGGTCTGTGGTGCCTTGCCTTAAAAAAAAAAAGCTCTACACGGTCACACTAGTATCAACCGTCATAGGAAGTGACATTCGAAGTTTATTTTCAAGATAGATATTATGGTTTGTTGTTTAGATAATATGAAAAGAAGGTTAAAAATAAAACACAAATTAAGCATCCACAGGGAGAAAAAAAAAGGTCAATTCAGAGCAAACTAATAAAAATCCCCTAAAGAGAGAGAGAGAGAAACCCGCCTCGGCTTGCGAACAAGTGTAACAAAAATCCCCAAATCGATCGAAAAGATCCCCAAAAAGAAAAAGAAAAAAAACTTCTTTTTTATTCCCCATCCACTCGTAGCGGGAAAGAGAAGAGAGGGGCTCTCCCGGCGCTCGGAGCGCAGAAGCAGCGAGCCGCTTCCCGAAGGGAGCAAGAAAATTCGCGCCCAGTTTGGTCGGCATGGGCGCGAACGGCCACCCGCCGCCGGCGAGCGCCGCCGCGCAGAACGGGTCCCATTCCAGTGGCGGCGGCGGAGGAGGAGATGGTGGAGGAGGGGGAGCAAACCCTAGCCCCGGCGGCACGGTGGCGGCGCTCCGGCACGACCCCGGCCTGGCGCGGGAGTGGTCGCCGGAAGAGCAGTCCACCCTCGACGAGTTGCTCGTCAAGTAAGTCGCGTGCTTCGCTGCGTCATGCAGATTTGGGGGTTTGGCAATTCGGATTAGGGGGTGCGTATGGGTACTGATTTTCCGAGTTTTGGATACAATTGCTTGGATTATGTCGGGTAATTAAGATTGTAACTGTACGACGGCTCCATTTAGGGTTTCAATTATGTAATATTTCTTAATTTTGCATGTCATTTTTTTCTGCCCTGTAAAAGCTACCAGTAGCATTTGTTTAGACAAGTGGATAATGTAGCAATGTTGAGAGACTATTTTTTTTCGTCCTCTATTCCCAGCATATTATGTGACTTGCTCTATTTTGTTGTACGGTATATTATGTGAATGCTCGGTCGTTGCATAATGGGTAGAATCCACATGGCACCGACACGTCTTGTTGCCATCAAAATGACAGTAGCACCGAAAACAACATTGTGAGGGGGCGTCATGGATTGTTTAGCTTTGAGGGCCTTTGTTTTTGCTCTGATGTTACTCTGGTGCTTGCTCTCAGGTATGCATCTGATGCTCCTGTAATTCGTTATGCAAAGATAGCCATGAAGTTGCCAGACAAAACAGTTCGAGACGTGGCCTTGCGTTGTAGATGGATGAATGTGAGTAATAAATGTAGCATATGCGCCTTCAACTCTGTTATCATGGTGCCTGGTCTTGTTACCCTTTTTCCAAGCAATGATTTGAGATTATGCATTTGATGTGCAGAAAAAGGAAAGTGGAAAGAGAAAGAAAGAGGACCACAGCTCCTCGAAGAAAAGCAAAGATAAAAAGGTTTTTACTAATATCTCCCATCCCCTCCATTCTCATGACTGTTGGAATGCATTATGGGAAAATTGATCCTGACTTGCTACAATAAGTTCATTTATAACAGAACCTGGTTAGACATAGTCCGAAAAGTCACTGAATGAAAATCCTCCAGATTATCTGGCATTTTGTAATGATATTTCTTAATGGAAGATGTCAGAACCATCTCTTCCAAAAAAAAAAAAACAAGCATATTAGATCAATTAGTTTTTTTAATACTTATTGATTGTCAGCACTTACTATGCACCACAAAAGCATCTGTGAATTTAATCTGTTTCAACCATATTGTCCGTAATATAAATGGGTTCTTTTGCAAACAAGCTGTTAGCTTGGCGGTAGTGCTTCCACTTGAGAAGCCGCTGGTCCTGGGCTCGAACCCAGGATTTGCACAAAAAAAAAAGAGCCCTCGTCAGCTTTTCCGTGTTCCACCCGTAACCATTGTGGTTGCCTTCAGTGAAATGTATGAGGCCAATATGCCCTGAGCACCCTGTGGCGCATCCAGGCAACCGGCCTTTGGGGTCTTTTCTCGACCGGGCAAGGAAGAGCTTCTTCTTAGTGCAATGCCGTGGGAGCGGTCTTTCCCCCACTGGTCGATTTTTTTTTTTTAATGAATGGTTTCTTCCGGTGCAACTTTATTACTTTGCTTTGGCAACTGTGTAGAGTAAGAGGTAGGGCATTCATATGTACTAATGTAAAATTCGCAATATGGTTTCATCGTTCGAGCTGTAAGTTATGCCATGTATTTAAGCTTCAAGATGGCATTTGCAAGAGCCATCGTATTTCAAGTGTATATCGCTATTCTGTAGCTCCAGCTTGGACCTTGCTATATTGATCTATACCCCCCCCCCCCCCCCAAAAAAAATCCAATAAATGTGGCATTTATTTTGTATGCATGAGAGAATTTAAAATTTCATATTAATGCCTGCACTTGATACTTATAATTGTGTCGCACTTTATTTTTGAGATTTTACATTTATGCACTTTAAAGTGGAACCGTTTTCTGTTACTTTTTATTTTTCTGCAGCTGGCAGGAAATGAACATGTTTTTTTATTATATTTATGTGAAAGCACTTGTTTTCAACTTATTTTACTCATGCGTTGTGACGATTCACCAAGAGAAAAAGTTCCTTGATGTGTGTGTAGCTAATGCATGCTATATTCACAAGTTTTACACTGACAGACATTTATTGCTGCAGGAGAAGGTTTCAGATTCTTCGTTGAAACCACCTGTTCATATAGCTGGAAGGCCTAATGTTCCTCCGTACCCCCTTCCAGCTCTGCCCATTGACGATGATGAAATTTCTTCCAAAGGTAAATCACAATTGATATTGACTGAACTAATTCGCAGTTAGTTTCATATGTTTTATTGAACCTTTTCATTGGTCCAGTTACATGTGCAATGAAGAAATGCGCGTGTTATGCAAAGTTCTTTCTCGTGTATCATTTGGGACTTGTATGGACCATGATTTGACTGCTGAAGTCAAGTGCACCAAATTTTATGTCCGGGACTGTCGACAGGTTGCTGAATTCATTACTTCTTTTTTTCCCCCTTTTTGCAGCAATTGGAGGTCCAACAGGAGAAATCCTTGAAACTAATGCCCAAGTTTTGAGTCAAATTTCAACCAACCTCAGCACTATGCAGGTATTGTGTGTTTATTTCAAGATGACCCCTGGTGATACTGCCTCATCAATATATTTCAGGATCATGCTATTTTTCTTTCATTTTATCATTACATCTACCATATCTTTCCAGTTTTACTCATCACTTGGTAGTTTATCCTTTTTTGCAGATACAGGATAACATCTCTCTACTGTGCCAAACTAGAGACAATATACTCAGGGTCTTGAAAGAGTACGTTTGAATCCTTCCTTCTGTTAAATTTGCAAAATTTTGAATTGATTTCATGCCGTTTGTCCAACTCTTATATGTTTGCTAATTAGTATCCTTGTATGTTTTAGTAAGTAGTCACAGACCGTGACTTTCCTTGTTTGGGTCTCTATATATAATGAAATTAGAATGTTGCATTATGTTGTCATGTGTGATGAATCATATGTAGCCATCAAAATTTGGAACGATGATCCTCTTTGCAGTTCCCATCAGGCATTCTTTCATTCATTTTCTGACTGAAAATTTATCAGTAGATGGATCTTGGATATTTTCTGTAGATTTTTCTGGTAATCCATGTTACAGGACAGTCAAATCTATTAAGATCTTACTTATGGGAAGCATACACAGATAAATGATGCTCCGGATATTATGCAACGTTTGACAGCTCTAAAAAATTTAGTTCTGCTTCTCATGCAACGTTGATCTTGCAGGATAAATGATGCTCCAGATATCATGAAGCAGATGCCACCGCTACCAGTGAAGATAAACGAGGAGCTAGTCAACTCAATGCTCCCCAGGCCAACTGTACCTATGCAGTAGTGAACTAGTGATAGTGAATGAACATATATCCTCAGTAGTCTCAAGAGCTCTTTAGAATAGACAGCTAAAATAAAAATGCCAGCCTTGTTCTGTTCGTTCATTGTGTAGCTCCTCTGGTCCTTGATCTAATCTGTTCCTTTCAGCATGTTCCGTCTAGTACTCTAGATTGTTGACCTTCCAACCGTTCTCCAAATCAGCCGGTTGGAACATGTACCATACTGCCATGGGACATGGTTTCCTTCTACAGCAGTGTCACCTTCAAACTCTGGCATGTTTTGTAATCTATAGCTGTTTAGCCTAATATGATGGAATATTGGAATGGGAAGCCAAGATTTACCCTCTGCGGTTCTCTTAAATGAGGCACAGTGTATGCATTGTTTTGCCCCCTTTGTTTTTGTTTGTGTTTGGTGCTTTCCTACCATAGTTCTGGGTGTGTTTAGTTCACGTCAAAATTGGAAGTTTGGTTGAAATTGGAACGATGTGACGGAAAAGTCGAAAGTTTATGTGTGTAGGAAAATTTTGATGTGATGGAAAAGTTGAAAGTTTGAAGAAAAAGTTTGGACCTAAACTCGGCCTCTATTGAGATCAGGTAATTTTATTGGATGCGTATCTTTTTGAATTAAATGGCTATCGCTACACCCTTGTCGTACGAAAGTAGCCTACAGTACGGGTGTGTTTCGTTCAATGCTATTCTTAAATCTTATCCATACCAAATTCATTGTTGACATTACGGGGTATGTTTTGGTTCAACGCTATTCTCAAATCTCAATCATACAAAAAAAATGTTAGTAATAGCAAAGTACCCATAGGCTATTTGGTTTGTTACCGAAAAATATGGGATGCCAGTATTTTGTTAAGGATAGAAAACCTTTGAACTAACTTTACCAAAATTTTTACATCAAACAAAACAACCAACTTATACCAATTTTTTGCCTGCCAATATTTTGATAAGGTTGAGAGTGGCTACAATCCAAACAAGACATCGAGGGGAAAAAATAGTAATGTGGGTGCCCAAAGCCTCCATATAAGGAATAAGTCCACTTTGACTCCCTTAAAAGTGACCTGAATCTAATCCGTGACCCTCAACCGTAAAACCGGATAGGACGACTCCCTGAACTATTAAAACCGGTACAATTTGACTCCCTCAGCGGTTTTGGAGTATGGTTTCGCTGACGTGACGCATACGTGGCGGTATGGACCTGGTCTTCCTTCCAAGTGGCGCTGACATGGCGGTTACGTGTCACTCGAATTAAAAAAAATATGTCACCCATTTTTTCATTAAAAAAATGTGGGACCCACCGGTATATGGGGCCCACGTGTCATCCTCTCTCTTCCCTCCTTCCTCGTCCCTCTCTCCCTTCTCTCTCTCTCCTCATGCCTATGTCATGGATCCCCGTCTCCTCGACTCCCCGTCGTCGGCGCCTCCACCTCGCCACCGTCAGCGCTCTCCCAGCGTCGTCCTCCCCGAACGACCGTGCGCGCGTCTCATGACCGGCGTCGAGGGGTGTGGCCAGGCCCCAGGCATGGAGTTGGCCGTGCGCGCGGTGCGAACGGATGCGGTGGTGGAGGCCGACCGCCACCGCCACCGCTGCGTTGGACGAGGGGTTCGGCGAGCCCTCGGCGGAGAATCTGGCCGCCGAGCTGCTCTAGCTCGAGCAGAAGATGGCCAAGTGCGGCGCCGCCCGTTCGGCCACCGCGCCGAGAGGACTGGGGGCGGAGGAGGTCGCCGGCGTGGATCCGTGAAGGAGAGGTTGGGAAGGACGACGCCGGGAGGGCGCCGGCGGTGGCGAGGTGGACCTTCTACTCTTCTTCGGTTATTCCTACGCCAAGTGGTAGAAGCAACAGCACAGCAAACCTTCTTTTTGTTCAGTTCATGCTCAAGCAAACAAGCAGCAGCAGCTTGTTGTCGGGTTGAGCTAGCAACCAGAAGCTCGTTCGCCCTTATCAAGGCTTCATCAAGCAATAAGCAAATAGCAGCAGATCCCGAGCAGCAAAAGCGGACTTCATCACCGCCGCGACTTCTACGCGCGGGGTATAGCGCCTGACGCCCGCAGAGGCCCGCACCTTCTTCTCCCAAGCGGCGCTGCCTCCGAGCTACTGCAGCGGCGAGGGGCAAAGGTGCCCCCACATGGGGGGCAGGGAGGTGGACGCCGCGACCGGTGGTGGCGGCAGCCGACGGTGGCGAGGTGGAGGTGCCGACGACGGGGAGTCGGGCTCCATGACGCCGGCGTGAGGAGAGAGAGAGAGAAGGGAGAAAGGGAGGAGGAAGGATGGAAGAGGGAGGATGACACGTGGGTGTCATATTATTTTTTAATGAAAAAATGAGTGACATATTTTTTAATTCGAGTGCTACATAACTGCCATGTCAACGCCACGCGGAAAGAAGACTAGGTCAATACCGCCACGTATGCGTCACGTCAGCGAAACTGCCCTTCAAAACCACCGAGAGAGTCAAATTACACCAGTTTTAATATTTCGGGGAGTCGTCCTATCCGGTTTTACGGTTGAGGGTCACGGATTAGATTCGGGTAACTTTGAAGGGAGTCAAAGTGAACTTATTCTTCCATATAGTATGCACAACAATTAATCGCAAATTCTGTGAAATGTTCATCCCTGGCCCAGTTCCCGGTTCCCCATGATAAGCTAGGGAGAGCTCCATGGCAGAGTCCAGAATATTCGGAGGTCTCAAGCCCACCAAGTCCAGGTTACTGGGCCCTACTATCAGAGGCCCACCACCCAACGGCGCGGCCACTCATGCCCCACGTCGCATCCTCTTCTCCTTTTCTCCGGAGAGTCAATGGCTCGGTCAAAGCTCAACGAGAGCATGTCTTCCTCCTCTCCGTTCTCCGTGTCTCCCCGCCCCATCCGCCGCTAGCCCCGCCTACCCTCGCCTCGCCTCCTCCGCCGCCTCCGCCTCCGCCCCCGCCCGCCTCCGCTCCCGCATTACCCTCCCCGGTGGCAGATCTCCCGTCCCCCCAATGGACCCGGCCGCCTCCGCCGCGGAGTCGTCGTCGCTGTCGTCGCGCGACGTCGCCGCGATGCCGGACTCGCCGCCGCGGCGGGCGGCGAGGCACCGGCGCGCGCAGTCGGAGATCCTCCTCGGGGCGGCGCTCCCGGACGACATCGCCTTCGACGCCGACCTCGGCGTGGTCGGGGAGGTCGGCGGCGGCGGCGGGGACGACTACGAGGAGGAGGAGGAGGATGACGAGGAGGAGGAGATGGAGGGGGCGGGCGGCAGCCGGATGTTCGAGATGTTCCTCGAGGCCGGGGGCAAGCTCGAGACCCCGGAGCCCGCGGCGCCGCTGCCGCCGCCGCCCGCTCGGCCGCGTCACCAGCACAGCATGTCGATGGACGGGTCCACGTCCCTGGCGTCGTCCGCCGCGGGTGTGGCGGGGAGGATGGGCGCGGACGCTAAGAAGGCCATCTCTGACGCCAAGCTCGCGGAGCTCGCCCTCGTTGACCCCAAGCGCGCCAAGAGGTGAGAGAGACTGGCCTGAGAAGTGAGAACCCCTTAGTTTCGCTTGCTTGAATGCTTGTCACCTTTGTGGTATTTTTGGACGGTAAGAATTGGGGAATAGGGTATCATTGCGGCGTTTGATAGGGACAGATTAACTGACTTAGCGTGTTCGTGATTCTGACGAAAGCAAACCTACGAAGTCACAAGATTAAGTGTGTGAACAGTAAGAAAGTTGTGGAATCCGTGATTTTATGATTTTTAACGTGGGGGAATCATACATTGGAAATCATGCTATACTGCTACATTTGAACTATTGATAAAACAGAGTATAGCACTAACTACTAAGCCTGTCTCTATCTATCATTGATGAAGGGAAATTTGGTTCTGAGCAGGTTTGGTATAGTGTACAGTAGTAGTTAATATTTAACAAAGCTGAAAAGGACCGTCATTTGTGTTGTTAATCTCACATCTAAGGTGTGATATGCAAATAAGTGCTTATGGTGATGTTGGTGTGCTCATCATATAACCGAATAGCCCTTGCCCCTTATAGATGGTTCTTAATTCACTAGCACATTGGAGAATATCTTCAGTTGGAATATGTGATGTTGACAATTATATATTTGTTTTAGTCTGCGTTCCCCTACTTAGAGGGGCCCTATATATTATATGGATTTAACTGTAATTTAGCCCCTTTTATCAGCAGTAATTTAGCTCAACTTTTTTTTAACTGTATGTCAGTTTGTGTTTTCAAATAATTCATAAGTCCAATTTTCCACAGCTATCTAGACTGTGTTTGACTGAGGTTATTTGGTTTTACCGATTATTTTGTCTCACTTACAAATTGGTTTTGTGTGCCTTTTGGGTTTTGACTTCAGTTAATTCTTTTACTCCTTTGAAACATTTTAGGATCTTGGCAAACCGCCAGTCAGCTGCTAGGTCAAAAGAAAGAAAGATGCGCTACATTGCAGAGCTTGAGAGAAAAGTACAGACTCTCCAGACAGAAGCAACTACACTATCAGCACAGTTGTCCATGTTACAGGTACTTTATTTTGGCTTTACCTTATCTCATACTTTGTGCATCCATGATTTAGACACTCTACACCAATGTTTAGCAGTTGGTTCTACTCTACTAGACAAATGCCTCAGCCCCATGAAAATGTTTATTTAGGTACATGCCTATGCTTTTAACTTGGCATTTTTTACCTGGCAGGCTTCCTATTATCTGTGTTAGTATAAGGTTACTAAACTTGTAGGTTATTCTAAATTTCATGCTGGTTGTATATCAAGTGAAGCTATTTGACAAAGTGCTGCACTGCTGCTTGTTCTGGAAATTCCGACAACCCATACCTAGGGGTGGTAATGGGCCCATCATTTTGACCTACAAAATGTGAGGGTTGGGTCCAAAAAGGTTTGGGCTGAAATTTAGAATTTTTTTGTGCTAAAAATATTTAAGGGTTGAGATGGGTTGTGAAAGGACCCACAGGCCACCCCGACCCTGTTTCCTCTATCTGAGCAGTAACCATTTATGGTAGTTAGGATGTTAACATCTGATTTATTTTTTCCAGCTGCAAATACACCTTTTGTATCCTACAGGTTGATACTGTTAACATATTGCAGATTATGTAGTTTTTGAAGGAACTTACTTTTCAGTTTTCCACGAGTCTATCCTTGATTATCTCTACCTGAATAATACAGAGAGATACCACTGGTTTAACAAGTGAAAATAGTGATTTGAAAATACGGGTGCAAACAATGGAGCAACAAGTCAGGCTGCAGGATGGTAAGGTTTTCATATCATCGCAGTAATTCTAATCGAATTGCCATATATTTTGAGAAAAAAAAATGAAGTGTCTTCATGACACACTAATTTATAGTATATATAACTGGAAATTACTTGAGCCTATTAAGTATTGTTTTCTTTTCTCTTTATTCTCTTGCGTCTTCGTTGGAATAATATAGTGTGATATTATCTTCAATTTTCTCCTGATATTTTCTTTTTCATCACCTAGTGATCGAAGTGATATTATTGTTTTCTCTACCCCTTTTGCTGAGTTATTAACCTTTTGTCTATGGTAGAGACGTAACAAAAAATCATAAAACAAGATATAAGTTGTATGAAGAAAGTAAGCATTAGTTAATGCAAATTATGACTTAGGATATCATCTTTGATAGGCTTCAGATCATTTATTACTATTTTGTAGGTGTCACAAAAACTCTCCTACAGTGTTTTTCCAATCATCTTTAGGATTGTAACTGTTCCTTGTTTGCATGTAGCACTAAATGACAGGCTAAGAGATGAGATTCAGCAGCTAAAGGTTGCAACAGGTCAGGTTAATGCCAACTGCGGCAAAGTGGGAAACTTTGGCCTCTCCTCATTTGGAGGCGCCAATCCACAAGGTTACCAGCGCAGTCACATACAATCTCTTCTGGCAGCCCAGCAGCTGCAGCAGCTACAGATCCACTCCCAGCACCAGCAGCAACAGATGCATCTGCAGCAGCATCATCATCTTAGCACGGTCCAACAGCAGCTTCTGCAGGAGGGGTTGCCCTTGCCAGGGGATCTGAAGATGAAAGGAATTGTGGCGGCATCCCATGCACAGAACGCCGGCGCATCTGAAAGCCACGCTCTGAGGAGTGAGCCGTGAGTTGGCATAGGCTCATGGCGGTTGTCAGTAATAATAACATGTTGTATCTGAGTGACTCATGCATAGGCTAGCGCAGTATCTAGGTAAAATTTCAGACTATCTATGAAGCACTTAGATGCCTGCAGCCTGTAGAATGTAGATCCCATTCAGTTGTAAGTTGTAGAACTGATGAGGCAAAACTGAGTAATTCACCGGTGCCATGGAGTATGTTCACGTCATATGCAATCGCGCCTGTCTCAATATCTGACCTTGTTCTCTTGTGGACATCAGGTATGTCGACAAGTCCCTCTTCCTGCTTCCCTAGCTACAATTGTTTTTGGTACCGGTTTTACCTGGAATTATTTAGTCCTGGTGATATCCGGTAACCCGGGGAAAGGTTCAGAATTTTAATTTTAGCTTTGAATTCATGGGCTTTTAGGCCAGTTAACGCCAGTTTTGGGAACCTGTGGCTCACTACTGCATTGCTGCTGCTTCTGCTGCAGGAATAGAATGATATAGAAGTCGCCTTCACTGATACATGCTGCTGTTGTTTCAACTTCCAAACCGCGAAGAAAATCGTCCAACACACATGAAGCTAGGCGGGAGAAGCTTTGTAGCTGAATCAGCAAATGATGCCATTAATTGATCAATACACAGGGGAAGGGAAACGTGAACGAACTACCAACCACAACGGTACAACAACCACGCCAACGACACCATGCACCAATGTACAAACACGAACCAGACCGGAGCGTCCAGCTAGGCAAAGAAACAGCAGTCCAGCCCCGGCCTCGTATCCTCCTATACCCCAAAAGACAAAAGAATTCAATAATAATCAACCAATTAAACACACTCCTCTCAAAATGCGCTGTCCAACCCAACAACCGTGTGAGAGCTAGGAAAAAAGAATAATAATCGCTGTGTTTTGCTGTATGCCGTGTCATCACTTGTCGTGAACGCGGTGTGCCCATTAGTCCCTGTTCCTCTGTAGACTGAGGACGACGCATCATCGCCGTGATCGATCGAGAATGGATCGGAGATGGACGGACGGACGGAGGGACGGGTCAGTCGTCGTCGGAGTAGCAGCGGTTCATCTCGAACGCGGCGACGGCGATGACCCAGACGGCGACGAAGACGCCGTAGGAGACGATGTAGGCGCTGACCTCCTGCGCGATGTGCAGGCCGAGGAAGATGTTGCCGATGGCCACCAGGATCGCCGCCCGCCCGATGTAGTGGTGGTACCAGTTCCAGAACCGCCTCACCTTGGACGTCTTGTCCGGCCGCGCCAGGAACGCCATCACCTGCGTTGCCCATGTAATTCATCAATCAAACCACGAATAAGGGTAGAGAGTGGATTTTATGAAGCCAGCCTCACGCAATGCCTGCCACTCTAGGAACCGTGAGGCCCAGAGCTTTCGCCCAAGCCCCGCCGGCCCAACTACGCAACTTGGAACGGGCGGGCCATCTATGGCACTGCCAACCCAGGCGCGCAGCCATACGGCAACGTCCACACCACCTTAATGCCCCCGCTCGGGTTACAAGCTCGCGCTGCTGAGCTCGGCCTCGTTGTTTTCAAGGGAACATGTCCTCGTTGTTTTCATAACTATTTGAGTGACATATAAACTGTTTACAATAGCTATTTGAGTATTTGAATAACTGTTTAGAATAGTTTCCCATAAGGTTATCAAACAATTCGGCTATGACGGATACATGGAGAAATGGAACTAGTTGGCTCAAAGAACATGCAGCTGACGTTGCAGTCTTCGTTTACTAGTACTCAGATTCTCTAGAGTGATTCTGAGCTTCCCGTAGCTTGGTTAGCAATTCTATCATTCACAGTCAACTTACTCACTCATGGCTAGAAAAATCGATGATGGCCTTGCGGCGCATGTGCAAATCATTGAGCATTTTTTTTTCAACTCAGCTGCAATTATTCTAGTTCTCCCCCATGTTCAGAGACCAAGTTAATTTACCTGCAGCGAGGCCATGGCCAGGATGGCGATGCCGAGCGCCCGGTGCACGTCGACGTTCTTGAGCCCGTCCTCGTTGAGGCGGAAGCCGAGGACGACCGACGCGATGCCGACGGTGAACGCGACGGCCTGGATGGCCATGTGGGCGTAGAACCAGTACGGGTCCACCCGCCGGAAGTAGCGCGCCGCCATCATGCCGAGCGGCATCAGCACGCCCCACGCCATCATCGCCAGCAGCCCGTGCTTCCTCTCCGGCGGGAACCCCCCGCCGCCCGAGCCACCGGAGCTCGACGCCATCCCTGAAAAAAAAACGAAACAGGTCAAAAACAAAATCCCTCTGCTCCATCTGTTTGTCGAAATGCGTGCAAGCATTTTGTACCGGAGGTGTAGTTGAAGGCGTGGGAGTGCATGCTCCGGTGCATCGGGAGGGTGGCGTCGGAGGGCGGCAGGTTGCCCTCGGGGCCGACGGCGTAGATCAGGTGCGGCTGCGGGAGGTCGGTGCTGAGCTGGAAGGCGAGGTAGAGCCGGCCGGAGCGCGACACGGCGACGGCCTTGTTCTTGACCAGCGTGAGGCGGCCCTTGTCCGGGTAGCACTCGTCGGGGCTCTTGCCGGTGAGGTAGTACTGCTTCACCGTGCCCTTCCCGCCCGACGACCACGCGACGACGGCGCTGCTACCGACCATCAGCCCCTTGCCGGAGAACCCCACCGCCACGTACGAGCCCTTGTCCGGCGCCGAGAGGATGAAGCTCCATTGGCTCTCTCCGGTGTTCTTGTACTGCGGTGACACGAGCAGTTTGAATCAGATCACTTCAGCTTACGGTTAATTACTCCTTGATGCAAAATGTGATGGTTTATCTATGATGCACACTACTTGCATTGATGCTACCAAATTTTGTTCCTCCCAAACTATCGCAAGAACATACTCCAAGCATGAAGCATCAGTGCTTAATTAGTACACTGCCACAGTGCTAGTTCATCATTATAGGACCAAACCAGATCATCCAAGCAACACTCGTTTAACTAATTGCAGTATTTACTCCACTCTAATCAATTTAACTACCAAGCTTCCATTTTCCAGCCATATCTGGCTAGTTTGCACACTGCACGCGTGCATTGGCAATGGCATCTAAACTAAACAAATCACCGAGATGAAAATTGGTACAGTATGCAGTAAAACTCCAAGAATTGATAGGACTGCAAAATTCAGCAGCATACATACCCGCAGGACGAAGTCCTCCTGCTTCCAGACGGTCAGGCAGCGGAAGGCGGAGGAGTTGAAGGGGACGAGATGAGCGACCGCGACGCCGGCGCTACTGCACGAGTCCGACTGCTGCTGCTCCTGCTGGCTCGCCGCGAACGCGAAGCAGAAGCCGAGGAGGAGGCAGAGCAGGAACAGATGCTTCGCCGAAGAAGAAGAACAAGAAGCTGCCCCCATTGGCGTGTCAGCCTGCCACTGATCCCCCTGCCCTGACTGCTCTTCTTCCCCTCCTTCTTCTTCCTCTTCCTCCCGTGCCTTTCTTGGATTTGGCACGCGATTTGGCTTAGCTCTGAGAAGCACCGGCTAAGCTTGCTCGCCTCGGACAAGATTGGTGGTGCTTGGAAGGTAAGAAATGGCCAAGAAATGTGAGCCGCGGGGGACAGTTTGGCAGGTCAGAGGATGCTAGTGTTGCTTGCCTCTCTCCCCTCCCTCTGATCGAATCACTCCCGATCGAGTACTGTCCCAGCGTGTATATATCTCGTCAAGTGGACAGCGTCCTTGGTGTGCGTAGTTAGAGCCATGGTGGTGCTGGTGGTGGTTTACCTAGGGATGCCGCACATGCATGGCAGCAATCCGTGTAGGCGCAATTTGCAGTGGCGTTCCACTTGTTGATTAGAATAACAAACAGATGTACAGATAGCCAATTAGAGCAAATTTAATAGTATAGCCAACTACTAACTTCAATTCATCTATAACCAATCTAATAGCTCATTTATATAATAGTTACATACTACACTATTAGTATCTGGTCCCACCTGTCATACACACACTGCGTCTTGGAGTCCGTGCTGCAACTGGCTACAAATCTGTAGCCCGCTGCCTTTCTCTCTCCTCATTTATCTATTTAAAATATATTTGCAGCTGGCTTATAGCTGCTATTGTACCTGCTATTAGGAGTTGCAAGGCCACCAAACACTCACCTTCTTGCCATATTTTCTTGGAGACCTCTATCATCAGTCATTTGATTACTAGTTTTAGGGAGTTTTAACTCTTAAAACAATACGAATGGGAAGGAACGAAATTTATGTGATCCGTTTCATGAAGCGGGACAATTTTTCCAACTTCTGGTTTTCAAAGATTAACACTGGACTTGTGCATTCGCATGCCCAAAACTCTAGTAGTCTTTAGGTCCGCACTCTGTCAACCTGTTACATGTGTCCGTATGTACAGTGGTAAACCAGTGCACAGCCAATACTTACACGTTCCAATCCAAACCCAAACCCAAACCCCAATCAAGCAGATTGGGGGGGACCCGTTGGCCGTTGCTTGTGAGTGCACACCATTATGAAACCCCCCTCTCCTGCACACCCCAACCCATCAACGGGCAACGTCCCCCCAACATGTCCCTTGTCCTCTACGTACACCGCCACGCATGAGCGAGACAAAAAGCCAACAAGGCGAGAATACGTACGTACGTCTACGACATCCAACGCCGCCTGAGCTGCCACATCGAGGAGGTGGGGGAAAAAAAAGCCGGCCGCGCGCGCGAGCACCACCGTCCACCGGCGGGGAGGGAGGAAGGCGGAAAAGCGATGGCTGTCTGGGTTGGCTTGGCCCCGGTGGATGATTATTGCGGCCCGGAGAAACAGCTCATGGGATTTAAAGGGAGATGCCAGGTTGCACATGCCGCTTGCCGTAGGTCGGTCGATTGGTTTGGCTTGGCTCGGTTTGATTTGGTTTTTGCCTTTGGTCTCGAACGAGCGAGTCCGTCAGACCGCGCGGCCGTAATCTTGCGTGCTGGTACAGTACGTTGCGGGGTTTGCAGTAGTAGTGTAGGACTACGTACTACCACGCTGTGAGACAACATGGAAGCTGGCCTGAATCTTTAGCTCACTTTGGCAGGATCTTCGCGTCATTGATTCGGTCGGGGCTTTTTTACCCTCGATGTTGGACTGCTCTACTTGCTGCCCCGAAAGAGCAGGTGCCAGAAAGAAAGGGAAAAAATTATGGTAAAAACTTTACTCTAAACTAATCGTTGGGGGTATAGTTGTATACTTTAACCTTCTCACTTTTTCAGTCATACTTTAAACCTCGAACTACCAGTAGTACTTTGTCGAGTAATCGGGTATGAATTAAACCTCGAATTGGACATATCAAACGCAAAATTTTCAAAAAGCTAATACTGACGGAGTCACCCACCTACCTTGATGGGCATGAATTTCGAGTGTCGCACTGGTTTCCATTTGTTCCCGATATGTACGTGTGTGAGTGTGTGATGGTGCCGTTTCATAGCACCAAGATGGATTAGGTAGACCTGCACGGCTGCACCTAACTTAAGCCGCTTCCACCCGTCTAATTGGCCCGATGGGCGATCATGTGCGCGATTAATCATGCATGCACTCGTGTTGGCTATTGCGTACTGAAAATTACTGTCACTCAATCGCGTCATTGTCTCTCCACCAACTAGCACGGTCGTATCACTTTGATCGCTCCGAAGAGGGAAATGCTTACGCCAAATTAATGGTGACAAATTACACCGATCCGACATTTTTTTTTCTTCACAAAAGGTTTTCATGGACGAGTGTCCTCCTTGCGTAGGCCACCATCATGCATGCGCGAGCCCGATTGGTCGCCACATTCAACGAGCAGGCCATCATACTGCCACGGAAAGCACAAAGATGAAATCGTAAAGTGAAAGGCTTTGGAGCATACTGTTGCAGCTCGACTCCACCATTCCATTTCCCGTTTCATCGAGCGGTTTGTCTCTCCTTCTCTGAACCTGCATCTTTGATTCCTTGTGATCTTTCCGTGAACGAGTTTAACGTCACTTCCCCTAAAATATAGGAGCCAGTGTAGTTCATGGAGGAGATGCAGCATGCTACTTTCACTGGCCACGTCATCTGGTCGTCACTAGTTATTCCATTACGTATCTAAAAAAATCTGGTCATCACTAGTTGATTGTACTACGTAAGAAGAGCACAGCATACGCAAAAAAGAAGAGGGTTCTCCATTTTTCTCGTTGTGATCAGTTGATGGACATTCTCGCAGATATTACTGATCGTACAGCCACGGTGCCAGTGTGGCACTCGCACAGCACATGAGAAAGATGGTAGAACAATCCTAATTAAAATGCAGTGCCATGAATGATAGTCTCGTGTTACTTGGCAGAGAAAATCAATGCCGTTAGTCAAACGATATGAATTCTGAATTAGCTGGCACACTCCCGAAGTTGACACCTCAATAATTCTCTTCTCTAACCAAGGATGCAGCAATCATATATCACAGGAAACGTTTGGTAATAAAGTGGGAAAGCTACATTACGGGACAGTGTTTGCGTCCACACCCGTTCTCATCCATCCGTCCAGATGGACTGGAATTCTTGAACTGAAGATAAAAGCTAAAGAAAAGCCTGGAAGATGATAGCCAACAGAGCACAGAACACATCCACCAGGGTGAGCAAAAGAAGATCACCGCCAGAACTGCGACGGAAAAGGCCAAGCGAAGAGCATTTCGTTGCCTTTTCAGTTTTTCACGTTGCCTGCCTCGCTTACCTCGGGGGCTACCTGAAGATTCTTAGTTCTTACCATTTCAACCGTGCACTGCTCGTGGAGGCCACACGCGCCCACTATGCCACGCCCACCGCAGTTACTGCCCGTATCAGGAAGAGAGCTTAGAGAGGCCCTGAAATTTTGGATATTCTGCAGCTGAAGCTTGATGAAGGGAACAAATGTACACCTGTGGAATACATGGAGTATCGAATTCGTGAGGCGGCGACAGAGCATGGCAGAATCGGCAGCAATTAGCAACAGCACAGCACAACATCGAAAGATGGCTAGCCGATTATTCTTCTGTCCAAACCCGTGAAACATTCAATGATAGTAGTCGGAAGCATCTGCCACTAACAGATAAAAGCGTGAGGAAATTGCGTTCGCAAGCGCTAGCATATCTGCCGAGGACGACTAATTAAATCACCGGAGGATGGAGAGGAGGCTCTGCCTGATGGCCTTAACCATGTGCCGCCGCGGTGGCGTCAGACGACCGGAGGAGGGAGACCCCAACGCCAACGTACGCTGCCTGGCTGCCTCTGTGTGCGCGATGAGTTGGGAGACGTTGCGTTACGACGGCCATGTGACGGCGCGGCCCCCCGCCCGCGCGCGCACCAACCGCGCTACGCTACAGCGGAATCGCTGGAGGTAGGGATATTCTCCAACTCGGCCTGCCTTGTCTCGGCGCGCGTACGTGCGTGAGGGCAAGGCAGGCAACTCCAGATCATCCCATCTGTGGCGGTATAATATTACGATGCGATATGCCTTCCTTACCTCATTTGGTTTGGGCAGGCGCGGGCGCGGCGCGTACCATGATAGGGATAGATAATGTACATGCGGACAGGTACAGGAAAGCCCAGACAAAGCTCTCGTCTCGTCCAGGTGTTAGTGTGTTACAACAGGGTAATGGACCGGACGAATGGCGTAACAGGGAGAAGGCTCGGTGCGTGTTGCCTTTGCCTGCCCGCTAACTGTAACTGTGTGGGTTAATGTTTCAGGTGATCTCTGCAGTGTGTTGCACATGGTGATTTGGTGAAAACGAAGTTGCCAAACAAATCAGATTGGTTTTCTAAGACTCGGGCATTTCATTATCCCAAAAAAGGAAAAATGACCCGTGCATATTAGCACTTGCAAAGAGCCGAAGAGAGGATAGGCCGCTAGGCCCATCGGACTAAGAATGTCTCTGCTTCAGACGGCCCATATAGGGATCCACATTACACTGGTCTGCAGAATTCAGAGTTCAGATTTGCTGCTTGGTATAGAAACGAGAAATGCATTAAGATTTAAGATGCTGTCTTGCCGAATACCGAATCTAATTGCTGAATTCACTGGGGAAATGCCTATGCAGGATGTTACGTGACAGCATCAATTCTGCAGTGGCATATTGCTGATTCAATTTCATCCGTCACCGATTACAGTCCGTTTTGATGAGGTTTTCCATCGATGAAAGCATCAGGATCAAGAACAACCAATTCAACCGTATTAAAATTTTCTGATAGGGATATTTGCTACTACGAAGGAACTGACATTCCAGGTAAAATCACATGGTACAAATGGTAGTTTTACAGGCTGTGGGATAAACCTAGCCCAAGCTGAGGTAAACAGCAGCCGCAACGCCGGCGGTGTAGATGGCGACCAACCTCCCTACCACCCCGGCCCCGGCGCGGGTCGCGAGGCCAACACCGACGAGCCCGGCGGCGCCTGCCGGGGCGCGGACGAGAGCCGCCTGGGCCGCGCCGGCGAGCACGGCCTCCCTGAACAGCTCGGCGGCGAACTCCCTGAACTGGCCCCTCGAGAGCACCGCCGCGTCCTCGAGCCCCGCGGCGCGCAGCGCGGAGTCGACGCGGGCGCGCGGCGGCGGCGAGGGCACCCAGCGGCGGACGAGCGGGAGGGAGCCCCGGAGCGACGAGTGGAGGTGCGCGGACGCGTCGGCGAGCTGGTAGGGGCGGACGCCGGCGAAGGCGTACTGGGCGTCGGCGAGGCAGCGGCCGAAGGCGTCGTCGCAAGCGGCGGCGAACGCCGGCGCGCCCCGGAGCGCGGCGTCCACGCGCTTGGAGGGGTTGAGGCCCATGTCGGAGTGGGTGAGCGGCGACGGCTGATCGAGTCGCTGTTTTGGATGGGGGTAGATTGGGTTTCAGTGCTGGTGTGATTTTTCTTCCTCTTTTACCCACATATGATATGATTTCACTGAGGAACACTTTGTTTTAGTTACCTTAATTTATCGTCGATTCTAAAAACTCATTTCTGAACCGAAATACTATATGTAGCATATTCTCTAACTCACAATACTATATCAAGTTTGGTTACTCGGCAGTATAGTGACCGGTTTTGACAGATGTGGTAAGTGGAACTCACGTGAGCTCCACATGCCAGTGGCTAAGGGGTTGTTTAGTTCCCAAAACAAAAACTTTTCACCCATTACATCGAATGTTTGGACACATGTATAGAGTATTAAATGTGGAAAAAAAACCAATTACACAGTTTGTGTGTAAATTGCGAGACAAATCTTTTAAGCCTAACTGCACCATGATTTGACAATGTGGTACTACAGTAAATATTTGCTAATAACAGATTAATTAGGCTTAATAATTTCATCTCGTAGTTTTCTAGCGGAATATATATTTTTTTTTGTTATTAGACAACGTTTAATACTTCAAATGTGTGTCCATATATCTGATGTGACACCCAAAACAAAAATTTTTGCTAACTAAACGAGGCCTAACTTTTCTTCATACTCTTCCTCTCCTTCTTCCCTCCATTCACGCTGCCCTCTCCTCCGGTTTTGCTCCCTACTCCCCGCTCATCACCACCTCCTCCCACCCTACCACCACCGACCCTCCCACGGCATCGGGAAACGACACTGTCGTGTTCCTCGGTTGCACCAAGTTGTTGCCCTTCGAGCTTGCGGTGTAGGACCACCTCTCGATGCCTGTTTCATGGTTATAGGTGGGGCCCGTCCCATGCGCCTGGTGTCGATCATTGTGGAGGTGGATCTGTAAAATTTCAACTCGTGGGACCTATCAGAGTGGCACTAGGGAGTGGTACTTATTCAATCCCTCCCCACCCCGGACCGCAAGCACACCAACAAATCATGCCCCAACCGACAAAGCCCGTCGCACCGCAAAGGCACACGCTTGGCATCAAGAAGGCGCTTGTGCTTGTGTTCTACGCCTGTGATGGGTCAAGACCGATTGGATTATGTGAGTACCAGCTCGCCAACATTGGCCGCGCCATCGCGGGCACCAAGAAGAGGTCTCTCAGGGTAAGCCTCAATTCACTATTTTAAAAGTTAAATTATTCTTGCTTCGATCAAAGATTATTCGATAAAGGCGATCTACAATTGAATCACATTCTGATATGATTTTGCATGAATTGATCATGCAGTTGGATGATTGGGTACTGTGCCGGCTATACAACTAGAAGAACAAGGGAGGTGAAGGAGGAGGCGTCGGACATGATGTCCTCACAACCGCACTCACACACCCACTTATGGGGAGAAAAGCGCACGCCGGGGTTGGAGATCGTGCACAACAACCCCTTCCCAGAAGAGGGAGAGGGAGAGGAGGGATAAGAGTTGTTCGCTAATATGTGGGGCTCACGTGGGTGTTGTGAGTTGGAGGATAGGTTATACGAAGTACTGTGTTATTTATGTTTAGGGATGACTTTTAGACTCAGCGACAAATTGAGAAACCTAAAGTGAACTCTTTTGACTGATGGCGTCCTGTATTCGTAGGGCTCGGCTTAGCAAACGGCCCATATTGGCATGTTTGCGAAGTGCAAACCCATTGTCATGGTTTGGTTTGGGCTCCTCTAGTTATGCATTGGCCCGGCCGGAGAGCTGGCTGCTTCACACTCGCTACAGAGGACCGTTTTTACTTTGAAAGGGCACAGAGACAGAAGGCCGTTTTTGCATGACATTTACCACATAAATGATTGATCGATAATGTAGCATTTTCTCAGCCTTAAATATTAGTAATGTACTCCCTCCGTTCCATTTTAAATACAATCATAAATTTTTATATCTAACTTTTAATAAAACATGAATAATACTTAACTCATGACTTATGTTTTTTAATTTTTTTAAAAGCTTTTAAAATAAGACGGACATTAAAGTTAGACGCTGAAAATTATGGCTGGACTTTAAAATGGGACGGTGGGAGTATTACACTCATCATGTAAAACTATATTCCATTTGAATTGAACGGTGCCAGCTCTTCTCGGGGAGCTAGTCGACCCGTACTCTTGTTTCCTACCGGTGGCAGGCAGGTAGAACAACGCTAACTGTTTACAGTACCTTCATCTTTTTCTTTAGCTTCACCATGTTCCTTTCGACCGATCACCGACCGGCATGTAGCTGATATAGAAATGCGTATGGTCAATGCTTTTCGCGATCTAAAGCGTTCGATACACTACACACCTATAGGCGTGTACAGTGTACTGCCGTGTAGTAGGCCAGTTAATTCTGGTACTCAGGCTAGCTCTGAGCTCCCACTCGCATATGGCGTTGCGGCAAGACGTGCGAGATTGCGGGCTCTTGTGCTTGCCGCTGCCCGTCAAAACCACAAGCACCCACGACGGTGGGCGTTGGGGAGGGTAAACAAATCCGCTCCATCGATCAAGCGTCCGGGCGAAACTTCCATCACCGCCTAAATTTCCGAGAGCTCTGATTAACGCAGGTACGCAACTCGATTAATTGTGGCCTAGCTTGTTTAGACGTTGTACCACTGTCGCGAAGTTCAGGAGTAGGTTATGCATTTGTTTTATACTGGTTAGATGGGTAAACTAGTAATTAGGTGAACAGATGATGATTCTAATTAAGTGAATCATTTTTAGTGATACTAGCTAGTCGAATGTATCTTGCCTATGAGTGTGGTTCCAGGAGCTCTGTCTAAAGTTCAAATGTATATCTAGTTATTCATGGGTATTGTAGCCTATGTATAGTTTCCTTTTTCAAGTATTTTACAGCTGATCAACGGTTCAACAACTCTTTAAGATAAAAGAAGATAACTATGGGCCAGTTTGGTTAATTTGGTGCCCTGCCTAAATCTCGGTAGTGCAAAATTTTATGGAACTTTTGGCATTACTAAATTTATTGCTACGTAAGAGATGGTGTTGGCAAAAAATGATACCAATCGAAACATCAAGAAATGCTATTGAAAATTACCAATTAATTAGGACACAATGTGATACCAAACTAAATTAGCATTACATGGTTACATCTCTGGTTTCTCTGCATCATGGATACACACAAAAGCATACATAGAGTAAGGTTATAACAATAATCAAATAAAGCTCATGGCGGACAAACTCCTGCATGAGAAGAATAATAAACTAAAAATTAATAGCTTTGCTGTAACAATGAATTTATTTATGCAAGACTATCAGGAAGGTTCAAATTAAGATCCATAAGAAAATACCTTAAGATATCTAAATGTTACACTAACCTAGCTCAAGATACTTAATAAAGATATTAAATTTTATATAAAAATATACTATTTTTCAGTAACTTCTCAAAGATGACAAAACTATCCTTAAATTAAACATTGTAACCACATTAATGTGTTTAAGCAGGATTTTTGCACGATTTTGGGATCTGTTTCGAGGTTCCATTTCTTGATCGTACGTGTTGATAGGATGCGCCACGCATGGTGGTTTGTACAATACTTATGAGAAAAAAAGATCATTATTACATACGGGTCTGCTTAATTATACTAAGAATTTATCATCAACAGTTTGAAACTATGCATGCTCTTGGATCTGTCATGTGAACTTCGTTGAACATCATGCATGAGTAGGGATGGCAATTGTGCCCGTTTGTCCGTTTATCCGTGGATAAAAACCCTATTAGAGTTGGGTTTGTTCTCCATTTTATAACCATGGGTATCTTATTGGGTCAAAAACTATGCCTGATGGGTAAATGGACATGGGTATGGGTAATCATTAACCATGCCCGCTTTGCCCGTTTACCCGTAAAATCTAACTTACATGTAGGTTAAGATCAAAATCCACTAGAATACATAGGCCACGTTCTTTGTTTTCTACGGTTTTCTTTTTATTTCCCTTATTATTTCTCTCCCCCTTACTCTATCGCCGCCAGAGAAGAGACACCACACCGAGGCGGAGAATATTTGATGTTTTAAGTTCAATTCGAACTTAGAAGCTTGTAGACTTTTTGTTCCACTACTTTTGTTGTGGCGGGTAAACGGGCATGCCCGCGGGCACAAGGCGCCCGCGGGCGATGGGCATGGACAACCATCCTTACCCGTCATGTAGTAATGGGTATATCCACGGGCACAAATAATCTTATAGGCACGGGTATGGATAGGCACTACCCGTGCCCGTCGGACCCGATTGCCATCCCTATGCATGAGGCGACCGATCGTTGGTCTATAGTGCAAACTGTCCACTGTCCCACCCATGAGAAGGCGACCGATCGGCCTCGTTTTCCTACCGCAATTAAGGCAAACTCACTGATCAAAGATTCGTTGCATACAAGCAATTAAGCACGCTAGCTACTGACTAGCTAGCCAGGGGACCTTCTCTTCTAACCACACACATGACACACAACAGACAAACTAATTCTCTCTCGTACGTGCAGCTTAACGGTGAGAAATGGAGCCTATATATACGCGAGAAAGGTTAGCTACCCTGATCACGTACCAAATAACATACAGCTCGATCGATCGATCGAGTGGTAGTACACAAGCAGCTCACCTCTCGGCGATCGATCGATCGATGATCATGTCGTCCCAGAGAGACAAAATCCTCGCCGTTTTCTTGCTACTCGTGGCCCTATCATCCACTATCCTGCAGACAGCCGTCGAGGCGGCGCGGCGGCTGCCGGGCGAGCAGCACAGCGCGGCCCACGCGATGGCGACGTCGCTGCACGAGAGGGCGAGGTCTCTGCTCATGGCGTGGGTGGCACAGCTCACGGCGGGGCCGAGCCCGAGAGGCCCTGGCCACTAGACCAGATCTACAGACACGGCCAACAACTCATGCGTGCGTGCATGTACGTACGTAGGTGTGTGCACCAGCGTGGCAGTGTCGACGTCGCGCCGCATTGATGTATCCTTACGTACTCTAAGCTAGCTATGGCTGATTGTTGGGTACAGTGCTACGTACACTGTGCTGGGACAAATATGCATGAGTAGTTGTCTTCGCT